ACGGTAGACCCCCACTCACTGATGGCCAGAACAGACGGTAGACCCCCACTCACCAATGGCCAGAACAGACGGTAGACCCCCACTCACCAATGGCCAGAACAGACGGTAGACCCCCACTCACCAATGGCCAGAACAGACGGTAGACCCCCACTCACCAATGGCCAGAACAGACGGTAGACCCCCACTCACCAATGGCCAGAACAGACGGTAGACCCCCACTCACCAATGGCCAGAACAGACGGTAGACCCCCACTCACCAATGGCCAGAACAGACGGTAGACCCCCACTCACCAATGGCCAGAACAGACGGTAGACCCCCACTCACCAATGGCCTTGGCGAGGAGTTGCAGGAGGTGCGAGGGAGAGGCGGTGGGGCCGAAGAGGATGAGCGGGAAGGGAGCTGATGCGGTGAAGCAGAGGGTGGGTGCGGCTCTTAGATCCACCTGCACGAGGGGAGGATATTACTTCTGTGAATTCTCATCGGGTGAAGTGAACCCAACCCAATCTACACCGGACACTAGAGCATGCAGGCAGAGACATATTCAGACAGAAACGAATCAACCAGAGGGCCACCAACCACAAAAGCATCAAATTCCCATCATATTCTTCTTTTCCATGTGACAGTTCAGTTCCGCCTGCATCCATTGCTCCCCCTCACCTCGCAGCGCCGGGTGGTGTCGGCTAAAAAGCCGAGGCAGCGGCCATCAGGCAGCAGGGAGAAGACCCAGGGGCGGGACGTGAAGAGTGAGAGGATAATGCCATCCTTATATTGTGATACCCCCTCACGTGCTCCCTCATTATCCCTGCGTCAGCGGCAATCAAACCTATCAGCAACCCACACACACACTGCGCTGCTCACCTCGCAGCGCCGGGTGGTGTCGGCTAAAAAGCCGAGGCAGCGGCCGTCAGGCAGCAGGGAGAAGACCCAGGGGTGTGACATGTAGAGCGAGGGGGTGCTGCCGTTAAAGCCCCAGCAGTCCGTGTTCCACGTGAAGATCTGGTGGTGGGGCCGAGTGGGAGGGGGTGTGCGGTGGGGTAATCTTGAGTATCAACTAGAGTTGACTCAACCGACTGATATTGAAGACCCAGCAGTCCGTGTTCCGCGTGAAGCTCTGGTGGCAAGGGCGAGTGGGAAAACGGTGGGGGTGTGAAGTGAAGGGTGGGACAGAGTGGAGGGGTTGGGTGGGGGGGTACTCTTGACTTGACTTGCCTCCGTAGCATTTAGTTGAAGCCCCAGCAGTCTGTGTTTCAATAGAGTTCTGGTTGGGGGGCGAGTGAGGTGATTCAATAGGCTGACGTCTTTCAGGAAGGAAATCTAATGAAGGAAAACAGACGAGAGAGGCAACGACGAGTGAAAGCAACAGCAGAAGGAAACCCATCAGCAGCAGACAGCAGCAGCAGCAGAGCCAGTCAGCCACCACTACCATCCGCAACAGCAGCATCTACGGTCAGACCAGACACAACATAGCAGCAGCAGCAGCACCCCCAGCGACCCACGTACCCGTTTCTTGCTCCTCTCAAGAGGCCCTCCGACCTCCCCTGTTCCATAGAAAGATGACCCCTCCGGTAGCTGACAGGGAGGTGTGATGAGTCGTAGAATGGATGAGAAATGAAATCGGGACTCTAGGGATTCATTGTGAGTGAGGCGCCTCCACAGCCAGGGAGGGTTGATAAATCCAGAAGGCAGGCAGGGAAGGCATTATGAGGCGCCTCTAGATCAACTGACAGGGAAGGAGGGGGTGCTGGCTCCAGGAGGAAAATCTGGCACAGTGAGGAGGAGGAACACACGCACGCAGACCTAAATGAGACGAAACAGATCAAAAGGACATAAAATCGGTATTCCTATTCAAACGGTCGAATTCACGAACCTGGATGGTAACCACTTGCTGGTCGTTTCGCGAGCTGAATTCTACAGAAACAGCAACCCCTGCAAGCACGTCCTCGATTGACAGATCCCCGTTTCCCGAACCACCGCCTCCTAGTCGCTGCTCCCTGGCCGGCGGGTCTGCGAATGAGAGAGACGGAAAGGCCGCCTTCCGAGAAGCTTCGTCCGCGTCCAGACGAATGATCCCCTCAGCTACGATGGGAGTCACGACTATTTTATCGCTGCCGCTGGTGTTCTCCGTGGAATCCGGCGGAACAGCGGAATTCAACGATCCTGTCATGTTCGCGGATCGTGCGCTTTTGCTATTAACTGCTTCGGACTTATTCGCAGAAAAAGAACTAGAATCTTCACCCGAACCACCGGCTCGGGGGTACCAAATCCCTTTCCTCCGGCCCCGTCCTTCCCGCGAGTTGGCCTGTCTACTGGCGCAACGAAATGCGCCAATCGAAGTCCCGGGCTGGAGAATGGGAGGCAAGATGGCAGCAGCGATCATGGCAGCACATACCAAATGAATGGGGCTGGGAAACGCTCATCATTATAGATATAATGAATTATAGTTGTATGGGTATTGTGACATGTCGATGTAGTATAATGGTCAGTATCTCCGCCTGTCACTCGGTAGATCCGGGTTTGATCCCCGGCATCGGCGATTTAGGTAGTCTGGCTGGTTTTGAAGTTTCCGCCTATTTGTTGGTTTGGTTCACTGTATTAGGCCGTGGTTTCCTGTGAGCAATCTCAACTCACCGCCCTGCGCCACATTCAGCAATTTCACCATCAACCAAACATTTTCTTCACGTCCAGCCCGGACAGCTGAAGTTGATCACTCACTTGGCATGGCTAGGCGTTCGAATTCATCTGTCGTTCTTTGTTGCTCCCACTTTTTAGGTGCTTTGTGAGTTGCAGAAGCCTCAATGTAGCGTGCTTTGAAGTCAGTCTAGGAGTCTGGTTCGGAATTATGGGGTTTGATGACGCGTTTCAGGTTTATAGGGTTTGTGGGAGGCTGCATGTTTCCCCTGTCCACAGCGGCTCAGACGTACAAGGTTCTTAGGACCAAATCAGCCACCGATATAAGCTACGCCTGGTGAGCTCGCGGATGCGATGACTGACGCGTTCATGTCGCAATCCCCGGTACCATTTCGATTGTGTTTGGCTTGTGAGCATGCTGTCATCGCGAATTTCCTCTCTTTTTTGCGAAAGGATTTCTGATAATCACTCTTGTTTACCGTTTGTCATTCGAAGTTATTGGTCCACACGCGTTCGAAACATGATATTGCCATTTTCGACATATCATGTAGTCTGGTATTCCGAGCTCTCTGATAACAACTTTCTGTGCTCAAGTCGGTCCTCGTCCGTACGTCTCCTTGCCTGTGTTTCATTGCTCTGTATCCACCATGCGCAGGCAATTCATTTTTGCTCTCGCGCATCTTCTCTACCTCGTATATTCCATACATTTCGGCTTATGGGTCATTTACATCCCTCAATCCGTGGAAATTGCGCTCTTGATCTTCATGATTGCTGCCAAAGTGTATTTTGACAATTTCGGACCCAGGAGCAAGCTCACACGTGCCACCGCGAAGAGTTCGTCCACCACAGGTGAGACCACCATGTCTTGCATTTAATAGGATATCACTTTTGTGCGTGTTTGTGCACGACCATGATAGTTTATATTCCCGACGTTCACCTGATCAGTGTCTTGCATACTGCTCCCCCCCCACACTTTCATCACTCCCTGCCCTTTACCCCGTGCCATAAGTACCAGCCCCACCCTTCCCTCCTTCCCTCCCTCACTCTCCACTGGTGCTCATCTTCTCACCATTCCCTTGCCCACGCCCCCTTCACCCTCCCCTCCCCCTCTAACCCGTCCCCCCCCTTCCCCCCCCTTCCCCCCCCGCCCTTCTGTATTTTATTCATCGTGCTTGTTCTGGCAGCCATGTTGAGTGTCGGACAAGTACCTGATGACAATTGATCATTGCTTTGTACACATTCCACACCGTATTCTTTTTGGGTTTACGACTTATAGACCCTCTATACCTACTATTTGGATGAATCAAGGTAAATGAAAGTAAATTGCTATCGTTCTAATTTGAACGCGGGCACTGATCTGTCACACATATATGAAAGCAGGTTCTTGACAGGTTTTCCTGAATCAGTGTATTGTTTTCGCTTATGACTGGGTGTAGCACTGACAAGACGCACATTACCTACGGCCTGACGCGGTGGGGATGATGCTGACGCGACATAAGGGCGCGTGTGATCTGTGAAATTAGCAAAGTTCGCCTCATAATATCGAATCTACCCTTAAAAAATGTTGCGAGCTGTGTTCGACTTTCTGCATTATCGAAGTTCGAACCACAAGTCACATTTTCAATGTAGTCAACGTGACACAACAAAGGTCGAATGTAGAGGTTCGACCTTTTACTGAGCGCGCCGTGGTGCACGTAGGGTGCGTAGGTTACCAGCTTCGTTTTGACAGCGCGCCACATCAACCTATCGAGCGTCGAAAATGTTACCAACTTCGTTTATTGTTTACCGACTGTCGTGGGTCTCGTTCGCTTCGCCTATCTATCGCGCCTGCCCAAAACTACACACGTTCGAAAAACGTGTGGGTACGAGTTCACGTGCAAATTCGAATCACGTTCACACACCGCGACTCGACTACATTTGTGTGAAGCCATTGACGATTTTCGCATGATATGTCTGACGAAAATGCCGATGCTGGTAACCACTGAAAGTCGACCTGATTTTTGAACTTAAGACAATATCATACGCGCCCTAATAATTTCCTTAAGAGTTGTTGGGCTTCGCGAAGGTCGCCGACGTGGCGAAACTTCTCCACTACGGCATCGCTGGTTGCACGAAACGGAGATCTGCCCGCCACGGAGAAGTTTGTTCCAGAAAGTGACCGTTCAACCCTTCTCCCAACCAAACCCAAGTTCGGATATATCCACTGATGGAGCCAAGAAAGCTTTGAAAAGTTCAGTGCTTCCGCAAGTCCATTTCCACTTTGTGTAGCTCCAGGCACTTTTGCTAGGGTTTGTCATCGTCGTCTTCCTCCGGATTCCGTAGCCCACACACCACCCTTCAGCTCTCAAGGCGCATCATCCATCCTTCGTTCATGTCCGATCTAGAACTCGAGGTTCCTGGGGCCTTCGGTATGTTCGTAGGTCGTTGTTGTCGTTCGGCTTAGCTTCTGTCCATTCATTTTCTGGTGTAGACACTGTTTTGACGGTTCCTGAACTTGCTTGCAGACCCGTTTGCTGACGCGAATGCTGCTGATGATCCTGGAGCCGGAACTAAGGATTACGTCCATATCCGTATCCAGCAACGGAATGGTCGTAAGAGCCTGACAACTGTTCAAGGCCTGAATAAAGAATTCAATTACAACAAGATATTGAAGGATTTCAAGAAGGTAAGCCTTCGTTGTTTGAAGATTGTGATTGGGTGGTTATAAGCAAGTCGATGGCTAAGCTGATGGGATCTCTATTTTTTTCGCTCTCTTTTCTCAGGAGTTCTGCTGCAACGGAACCGTCGTTCAAGACATCGAACTTGGTCAGGTTGGTATTTAACCCGTCCTCACGATTCCATTGGATCCTTTCCCGGTTCGCTAACCTTTTCGCTCTTGTTATTACAGGTCATTCAGCTTCAGGGCGACCAGCGGAAGAACGTTTCGGCGTTCCTCATTCAGGCTGGTATTGCGAAGAAGGACCTCATAAAGATGCATGGTTTCTAAGCGTTCATGATGAGATGAGGGGCGTGCATGTTCCCTTGCAGGTGGGCCTACCAGCTCTTAGGGGTAGGCTGTGTCGGCAAGGGAAGGATTTGCTGGCTAGAATAGACATGAGATGGAGATGCAGTGCGGATTGGGAAGATTGACCATATACAACCTTCTGTATTGATTAGATTCCTATCAAAGGTTCTTGGCTTGCTGACTGTTCCCAACTCCTGTCTTGGTTATTGGGAGACAATTTCAAACATAAAACTCACACCAGAGTTTTTCTCTAGTGTTGTGCAGATGACAGATTTATTTAGGAAACCAGTACGTTTTGGGATAAATCTTTCTGGAGATGGATACTGAAGCTTTTGGTCAATGATGCAGCACTTGATCCCTGACCAGAAGTTGGGGTGGGATGACCAGAAGGGTTGGATTATCAGAAGTGGGGCTCCTAAGATAACCTGACCAGACGTTTGACCAGAGTGCAGATTGTACTGCACCCTCAGGTGAAGGAAGGAGATCGCCCTAGATGACTTTAGAGTAATCCACATCTCACATGTTATTATTACTGAACATTTGTACAAAGATTGCAGCATAATTGTTACACTACCTATGAAGTGGCTTATACAATACAAGCGTGACATATTTAGAGCGAAACCGATGCGTCAGCCCAAGAGCAAGCACCGACCTTGCTGCTTTACCTTTCTCCACATACAGGTGGTTCAGAATGACATGCTGTGGCCGAGGCAATGTCGTGGGAGCGTCACCAGCAACAGGAACATTCAGCAGGGTGAGCTGAAGGTGAGGAGGAAGAAGAGGAGGCTCTTTGGCAAAGTCTTCAGGCACAGGAAAAGGGTCATTGTAGCTAGAGACAGGAGACCGAGGCGGCTCAAATCCCGCTACATTGTCAAGGTTCTCTGGCACATACTCCTGCACAGTGATTGCAGGGCACCCACACAAGTCAGCAAGAGAAACTGCACCACAAGCATAATGTGACTTCGTTCAGTAATAACATACCTGCACTTCCAGAACGTTGTTCACGTTTCCCATTTCATCATACACTGCTGGAAGGTCAGGAGCGTACCGCCACACATCATCCACAATGAACTTGTACTGGTACACCCCAGGAGGCAGCATCTTCACAATTGTGAAATCCTTGCCGGCGCGCTGCAAGACTTGCCTGAAAAAGAAGGCGTTCGCAAAGCAGGTGCTAACATGTGTTGCAGTTACATGCCTAACGTGATAACAGCGAGGAGATCAGCTATATGAACATTTGCAACCTCTAGATTCCAGCACAATGAAGAGCTTGAGCAACACGGACATACCTTGTCGTCCAGTTGTCCCATGAACCATCCACAGAGACATGGTTGCCACCATGTGTCCATGTGATGAGTGTCGGCACACCTTGCTCCCCATCCGCCCCAGGCCCACCCGCACCATCACCACCGTAGCCACCAAAGCCTGACCCCAGCGATAGCTCGTCCGCCTTGGGAATTGGAGCCATGGGAATCTGCACATTTGGAAACAGAAGCTATCATTAGAAGGTGCCATATCAAATCCACAGCAGCGCAGATGCATCCAACAAACCTGTTAGTTGAATCGGACTCAGTGCAGCCACGACATTTGCTGAGTTTCAAGACCAACCTGTGACCACTCGTTAAGGATTTGTAACGACACTAGGCTGGCTGTATACCTGTAATCGATTCTAAAATTTCCCAGAACTCGACTATGCAAACCTCTGGACTTATTTGCAGAGCAAAACTACACGGGGACCTGGTAACGCTGTTAGGGTTGTCATGCGGGCGGGTTCTCCATCCAGTCGACATTCAGGATTACCAAGGAAGAAGTAGAATCACCTGCGGAATAAACATGAGCGGAGACCTCGCAGCGCCGCTAGGGCTGTCAGGCGGGCTGTTCCCCATGGAGTCAACATTCTGAACTACCCGAGCAAATGCTGAATTACCTGCGGAGTGAACATGAGGGGAGATCTCGCAGCGCCGCTAGGGCTGTCAGGCGGGCTGTTCCCCATGGAGTCGTTGGAGTGCGACCGACCAAGTCGCGACGCCAATCGCCGCCCGCTCTCAGGCACCGGCCGCCCTTCCATGCTGCTGCGACCCTTATCGCGGCCTTGCGCGTTCCCCATTGTCGCTTGTTGATGATAGGATAAAGAGGATAAACGGCGAAACTAATCGGTTGTTACTGCTGGTTTCGATGCGAGTGGACAAGGTCCACAATGTTAAAACCCGCTTTAACAATATTATACCCCGGTACTGACCCCGAAAACCTAATACCTAATTTCTACCACACGAACAAAACGTATCCCACTAACTTAGGGACTAAGGGACGACTCTGCTTGAGAGGCGGTAGTCTTTATCGACAGTTGGGACTCGCAAACGCATCAACGGATGAGATGCTCTGCTGGTGGTGAACAGCAGTTTCAGTTCAACTCTGGATAAGGATTATATGGTAACCAGACAATTTTGCATCGATGTTGACAACTCAGTTACAAATACACCTCAACTGTTGTCGCACAACATTCGTCCCTCCTCGAGTCGTGGTTGAGTTTCTGAAGCCCTGGCGAACTTGCCGAAACGAATGAACCAGTAGATCCGAGGTTCGCGAAACCCCCTTTGCTGTTCATCAATTTCAGGCCCTCGCCGCTCTACACCACTCCACAAACCCTTGAAGAGTTCCCTTGTTCAGCCATTCTCGCATCATGGCGACGCTGCTCAGGAGCTTTCACAACAAGAGGATCCAGTTTTAGTAGTTCCACCAGCGTACCGGTGCATTAGGTTTGAAGGGCTAGGGCCGAGACACTGCGCAACGTGGGTTTTTTTTGGCAAAGAAAACGTTTTTATTTACTCGCGTCGCGCGGCGTAGAGTCTCTTCCGTCTGCCGGCTATGGAGGTCGGCGCTCGCGAGACGTCCCGGCTTTATGTCGGCCGTTTGTCGACGCGCACGGGGATGCATGATTTGGAGGACGTCTTTTCGAAATACGGAAAGTGCGTTTTCTTATTTCCACCATTTCAAACCGTTTCATTGCACTCTTGACTGTGTTATCTTTGCATTTCACCCCCGCCTTTTCCACCCCCCACTTCGTAGCTTGCACTTCTGTAAGCTTGCATTCTGTAAAGATTCTTCGGCTTACTGTTGCTGTTCTCCGCTCAAGATCGCCTTTTGACTTCGCGTCACACATTTTGTGAGAAATAAAAGGTCCTTTGGTGAAGGACCAACGGGCGTCGCTGACCAATCACCTTGCGTGCGCGCGCTCCGAATGAGTCGAAATACTCCGGGATCTCTACTTAAGCACCAAGATCCTGTCAGTTCTACTTCAAATCGTAACTCCCGAGGTGTTTCTCGCATCGAGCAGCGCCAAGGATCCTGGTTTGAGACATCCCTGCGCTGGATCCTGGTCTCCGCGCCTGGCCTCTGCTGCTTCTGGCGTCAGATTCTGGCTTAAAATCTTCTCCTATAGATCTCAGTGCCAACGCTCCAGCCTCCATACCATGCCTCCTGATGCTGATGCCGTCCATTAGCTTCTTGGCGCATTCCAAGTCCTTCGTCTGCTGCCCTCCTCATTCCCTATTGTTCCAATCGCGGTTCCACTTTTGAGCTCACACCACTCTGGAGAAGGAGGAGTGGTTAGCTCTTCCCCCTCATCCGCCGCTCCCCCGGTCTGCATTCCGTGTTTTACAAGCCAAGTAATGCTGCAGTTTGTGCGGTAACTTCTGGTGTCAGGCCTCGACCGTTTCCTTTCAGCAGGTTACAGGGCTTCGCTCAATGGATTCATCATCTCTATGGCTCAGGGCCCCTTGATCTCGTCCCTGCACGGGCTGAACTTGAATGCTGCCCCAGCCTTTGCCTCTCTTCTTCCATGCTGGGAACCTCAGGCGCCTGTGTTTCCAATTTTTCCACCAATTTTTCATCAAAGATACAGGGTTCCCCCCTTCCTGCCATTCCTCATTCTTCCACTTTCTTCCCCCCCCCATAATTCCGCTTTGTTTCATTCCGTCCATGCCCAGCATATTGGTTCGTCCGTCCACCCCCATGCGTGGACCTGAGCCTAGTCTCCCCGCTTCATTTCTCCATTCTCTTTTCTGCTCCCTTTTCCGCTCCCCTCATTTCCCTCCTCCCATGCTTCTCCTCCCTTCTTCTCTCCTCCTCTTCCTCCACTTTTCCACCCTTTCCGCTCCCCCTTTCCTTTCCTCACCCCTCCCTTTCCATCTCCGCCCTCATCCTCCTTTCCCTCTCCTTCGCCTTTTCCGTCTCCTCCCTCTCTCTCCCACCCTCCCTTTCCCCCCCCTCTCCCGCTTCTCGTTTCCCCCCTTCCGCCCACCGCCCCCCTCCATTTCTGGACACCTGCTCTTGTGGCACTATCCCCTGCTGCGGATCCGCACCGGCTGCTGCTGCCAATCTGCCCCCATTGCCGCCCCGTGGAACCGTCCTGCGGGTCTGGTCTGTACGCCTCTCACCACATGGACGGGTGGTGGCTGACTCCATGGATGGCTGTTGCTTGGCGGCTGCCTGTTGCTGTGGTGTTGCCAACTTCTTGAACCGGCTCCCTGGGCGGCTCCCTGGGCGGCTGCGTGGGCGGCTTCATGGACGCTTGGTCGTCTCTCGTGACGCCTGCTGCCATGGTGGCGTTGCCTGCTTCTTCCATCGCCACTCCCTGGGCTGCTGCTCTGCATACACCGGTGCTGCGTGGACGGGACCGGCCTTGTATGCTTTTCGGGGCCTCCTTTCTCGCACCTCCCAGGGTGAAGAGAGTCGATATGAAGACCGACTATGCCTTCGTGGTAAGCCTCTTGCTTGCATAGCATAGTGCTGTTGCCCTAAACCCCCAAAAAAAAAATGTCTAAGGCATTCATTCAGGTGTCAAGGCATGAAGAAAACCTCTCAACACTGGTTTTGACCCTGTGGTAAGACACTTTTGCATTGCTTCTTAGTTGTCCTTGTAATGAAGATGTGTGTATGGGACCATACGTATGCATTTCAGGTTGTGTGGATTGATCGGACCTTTAACATTCATGGTAAGACTTGCATGCGTTCTTGTTCATTGGCTTATTTTCGTGTTGTAAGTTGACATCCTTTCAAATGTTGTTCGAAACATAAGAGTCAATGGCCTTATGATGTCTAAAGCTTACCTCATGATGTCTGAACCTTAGCTCCATCCGTCTACTTCATGGCCTTTTCACCCTCTGTTCGAACCACAACCGCCGCACGTCTATCCCATGTCCTCTTGTCACCCTTTTAACCACTTCTATACGAATCTACTACGTCATGGTCTCTTCACCTCTCTCTATCCGAACCTCAGTATCCGTTCGAACCTGGCTCCCTTCTTCAACCTTCACCACAATCTTCTCCTGTCTACGTCGTGGTCTCGCTGATTTCACTGCCACTCCTCATCCAAGATTCCAATCCAATCGCTCATGTACTTTGGGGACTCGCAGCCACCCTCAAAACAGAACCAACGACTCCCCTCGTCTACTTCGTGGTCTCTTCACCACCCATTTCCAAAGAACAGTCTTCACTTGTCTGCCACGTGGACTCTTCGGCATCCCTCGTCCAATCCAAACTCTTCACTCGGCTACGACGTGGTCTTTTCGCCGCTCTTTGTTCGAATCATGGCAAGACGTATCCTCTTTATGGTGCCTTTGCTTCCCTTTGTCGGTTGCATAATGGCATGGATGCACGGTGGCACAAAGGCACAGCGGCACAGTGGTAAGGTAAGGCGGCATGGTGGCATGGTGGCATGGTGGCATGGTGGCATGGTGGCATGGTGGCATGGTGGCATGGTGGCATGGTGGCATGGTGGCATGGTGGCATGGTGGCATGGTGGCATGGTGGCATGGTGGCATGGTGGCATGGTGGCATGGTGGCATGGTGGCATGGTGGCATGGTGGCATGGTGGCATGGTGGCATGGCACTGCGGCACGGCACGGTCCCACCCACGGCACTGCGCGGCGGCATGGTGGGCACGACAGCAGAGCTACAATCTCCTTTCGTGCGCATCGTCATGGTGGCTTCGCCGACGTTCGTCCAGATCAGATCACAGCTCCCCAATCCGTTTACCTCATGGTGTCTTGAACCACGGTATCCTCTCTCTCTCTCATGGTCGTGTGTCACCATCGTCCGTCCTACAGTTGCGCCTTTCAGCTTCGTATTCATGGTAGTATAGTATCTTCAAACTACAATCTGCTGTCCCTTAGGATGTGGCGGCATGGCACTGCGGCACGGCCCAGTTTGTAATAGTCGCTTCATCGTCCGTCCTACAGTTACGCATTCCAGCTTCGTGTTATGGTAGTATCTTCTCCAATTTTTTTGGGCGCCTCAAAAATCGTCTCAGTTCACGCGGCTTTGATGTGGAGAGAATTATTACTGCTTGGAAGTGTTTCGTAACCTGCAAAGACCACAATCTGCTGTGGTGTTTGTAATAGCCGCTTCATCACCGCCCGTCCAAACTACCGCACAACCTGTCCACTTCATGATGGTCAATGTTGACAGACCATCGCAAGCTGGCCATGTCGGGTTGGCTGAAAATAAGCCAGGCCTTGACCTTGAAGGACTTGACTTACAAAGTTTTAACGAAGCCAAAGAGGAGAGCGAGTGAGTGAGGACAAATTTCTTGGTGCCATGTAGGTAGCATAGGAAAACGGATCAGTCGCCTCATTGGTAAGAAGGATCATTGGTGTTTGAGCACAAAGGGCGACAAAGTGAAAGATGGCTGACAGTGCATGGCGGTGGGCAGCTTGTCGTGCCATTTGCAGGGTGTCGGACGGACGGTGGCGGGGACTTTCAGCATGAAATCCATTATGCAAGATGCTCAAGAAGCAAGTTAATTATAACAATACGTGTTTCGTTGTGCCTTAGGATTGTCGATTTTGTGTTTTGCTGGCAAGCGTTTAGGCCTGCATGAACCCCCCTGTCAGCATGCTTAGGAAACAAGGCTCAACTGTCCAGTCCAACAAGTGATTCGTATCCCTAAAACCCCACTGTATGTTCCATTGGCAGTAGTTTAACAACGCACAAGATGCCAAGGAAGCACAGGGGCGCTTTTTGAGTCTATTAAAAAACGGCTCCTTATCCCCACAAATCGCTGTGTGTTCCGTTGGCAGGAGTTTATCAACGCACAAGATGCCAAGGAAGCGCAGCAGCGCTGTGATGGCATGGTGGTGGACGGGGCGAGAATCATTGTGGAGATGTCCAAACCGGTGAGTGCTTTAGGCCGGGCTATTGTGTGCATATGTGAATGATGCTTTTTGGTTGATTTGCTGCTAGTGCCGACATAGAATGCTGAGATGGCATGGTGGTGGACGGAGCGAGGATCATTGTGGAGATGTCCAAACCAGTGAGTGCTGTGCTGTATGGGGTCACTGTGCTGCGCGTGCATGTGTGCGACAGTGGATACATGTGTGGTGGTTGTTGTTGTGCGGCATGGCACTAGAATCATTACTAGCCACACACGTAATGTGGTGGCATGGCATGGCATGGTGGTGGGGGGGGCGAGGATCATTGTGGAGATGTACAAACCGGTGAGTGCTTTTTGAAGAGGTTGCCGTGTGTGTCAATGGGTGTGAGATGAGATCTGGTGCATGTTGTTGTGCTGCTCGTCTATTTCTGAGTCGACTCAAAAGTAGACTCATCACGTGCCGACATTGAGTGCTGCGATGGCATGGTGGTGGACAGGACGAGAATTGTCTTGGAGATGTCCAAACAGGTGAGGTGAGTGTGTTTTCCATGTAGGGTTATTGGTGGATATGTGTGGTTGTATGTTTGATTACCATAACTACACATGTGTGAATATGTGTTGATTAATGTATGCGTGATTCCTATGACTATATGTATTTGAATATGTGTTGATTTATGTGTGATTACTATCACTATTTGTATGTGATTAAATGTGTGGCGCATGCTGATGTACCCGCCCTGCCATGCAGCCGCCAACGCCTGGCGTGGGGCCATCTGGGCCTGGGGTTATCTTTGATGCTTCTGCTGCTCATTTGCATCTTACTCCCTCTCTTTTCCATCCATCTCCCTGCCCCCACAGACCAACCAGCCCTCGAACCCACCGCGCTGCTTCACCTGCGGGCAGGAGGGCCATCGCCCCACGGACTGCTCACAGAGCCACAAGCGCCCACAGCTCACATGCTTACTATCCGTCTTTCGTTCCATCTCCTCTCCCCCCACAGACCAACCAGCCCTCGAACCCACCGCGCTGCTTCACCTGTGGGCAGGAGGGCCATCGCTCCACGGATTGCCCGGACAGGCAGAGGCAGCACCACTCGCAGGTGGTGTGCTTCGGGTGCAAGCAGCCCGGGCATCTGCACAAGCACTGCCCTAACCGCCCTGCTATGCCGGCCAAGCCTAGCGGGGTGCCATCTGGGTCTGGGGTGATCTTGGATTCAGCTGCTGGTGGGATGATCCCTTGTGCTGCTGCGGGAATGCATGAGGCGGCGGCAAGTGGTGTCAAGTGCTTCGGGTGCAATGCATCCGGACATGTGCTCAAGGACTGCCCCCAGATTTCTGGTGAGTGAGTCACAAGCAGCCCAGGGCATCTGCCTCTGGGATGCCTGAGGCGGCGGCAAGTGGAGGAGTCAAGTGCTTCGGGTGCAATGCATCCGGACATGTGCTCAAGGACTGCCCGCAAATTGCTGGTGAGTCTGCTTTTGTTGCAATGAATATGGTCGTTTGTGCTCAAGGACTGCCCGCATATTCCTGGTGAGGCTGCTTGTATGATTGTGTTGCAGTGGCACGTGTTGCTGTGATTCCACTCCCCTCATTTCACGCCTTTGCTTCCACTCATCCATGCTGGTGCAGGAGCTGGTGCGTATTAGCATGAGAAGCAGGGCAGCGCAGGTGGGAGGCGCTAGTGTCAACCTTGGCCCAGCCCATACCCGCACTTCTACCGTTTCATTCCTCCCGTTTCACTCCTTTGGGTTCACTTGTTTGTGCATGTGTAGTAGCAGGTGCGGATCAGCATGAGAAGCAGCGCAGGCAGGGGAAGCCAGTGGTTTACCCGCATTCCTCTCATGCTTCCCAGCATAGCAGAACTGCCTTGCAATACCCGCATTCTGCTTTCACTTGTTTGTGCATGTGTAGTAGCAGGTGCGGATCAGCATGAGAAGCAGCGCAGGTGGGACAAGCGTCATTCGTCGCCCACCTCCAGACAGCACTCGCCCAGGTGAGGTGTGAAGGGATGGAATGAGATGAGAAGTGGTGAGGTGTGGTGGGGTGGGATGTGATGAGGAGTGAGCTGAGGTGTGGTGGGATGGGATGGAATGGGATGGGATGAGACGGCGCTTGACATTATAATCCTCCCATTTTTTTCAGGTTTCTTGTGGCTGTATTGTTTTTATTAGCTACACAAAAGCACTTGCCACTTGTGTACTTAACCTGTGCCATGCTACTCCATCCTCATCTCTCTTTCTCTCCCCAACCTTCTCCCTTTCCCCTCCTTCCATCCATTTCCCTCCTACTGCCTGCCCCCATTTTTTCTTCTTTTTGGTCCCTTGCCTTCTGTTCCCTCCGGTGGCTGTGAATTGGGGGTGTGTTGGAACTCTACTTTCCTTTCGTTTACCAGGCGTGATTTGAGAGACAGGCTCGGGCGGGGCGAGAGGGATGAGAGGAGGGATGGAGGCCGGGGACGGGACGAGAGGGACAGGGATGAGAGGGAGCGAGGGAGGAGCGAGATCAATAGGGAGAGGGAAAGGGAGCGGGAGCGGTGGGGAACGGATGGTAAAAGAGGTTATGATCATGGTGGTGGTGGTGGTGGTGGTGACAAGAGGGAGCGTGATTATAACGGACTTGGCAGCCCAGGGAGCAAGAGAGGTCGTGACAATAGCGAGCGGGACAATGCCGGGCGCGACAGAAACGACCGTGCCTTTAGGGATCCGCAGGGAGGAGGAGGTTATTTTCCAAGCAGAAACGACCGTGATTATATGGAGGGCAGCGGTGCAAAGCCCGAAGCCAGACTGGTGATGACTGTTTCTGCCACTCCCCCTAAATCTGTTCCTCCTTATAATCCCCTGCCTCCTGCTCCTGCTCCCGCCCCCGTCTCAAACATGCCATATGGTGGTGTGCCTTATAACGGGTCGGCTTATAGTGGAGTGGGTTATGGGGGCGCAGCTTATGGGGGTACAGCTGGGAGCTCAGGGGATGTGGGTGGGCATGTGGGAGTGGGCGGGGGGATGGATATGGGGATGGGTATGGGGATGGGAGTGGGGGCTGGTAACGGGGGTCAGGTGTACGGGCAGGGTGGTATGGCTGTCTCTAACATTCAGCAGGCTCCTCCTACTGCTGGTGCTGGTGCTGGTGCTGGTGCTGGTGGTGGTGGTGGTGGTGGTGGTGGTGCTGGTGCAATGGGTGCTGTTGTGTCGGGCCCTGGCTTTACCCTAGGCACCGTTGCTCCTCCTCCTGCTCCTGCTCCTGTTGCTCCTGCTGTTACTGCTCCTGCTGGTGGTGGTTCTGCTGTGTATGGTGCTGCTGGTTCTGGTGGTTACGGTGGTGGTGGTGTTTCTGGTCCTGGCATGCAAGGCATGCAAGGCAGTGGAATGGGTAGGGGCATGCAAGACAGTGGAATGGATGGGGGAAGTATACCAGGGAGTGCAGATGGATTAGGAAGAGTGGTGAGCAGTGGCGGGATGGGCGGAGGAATGGCAGGAGGAATGGCAGGAGGAATGGCAGGAGGAATGGCAGGAGGAATGGCAGGAGGAATTGGGGGAGGAATTGGTGGAGGGATGGAGGGAGGGAAAGCGGGAGGAATGGGGGCAGGAATGGCAGGAGGTTTAGGAGGTGGGGGTGGAGGAGGAATGGGGGGTGGAGGAGCAATGGGAGGGGGAGGAGCAGGAGACGTGGTGTATGTGGCTATCCCAGCGGCAGCAGCAGCAGCTGCGGCAGCGAGGGGCGAGCAGCTTATTCTAGTGAGTGCCAGTGATGGCCGGCTGGTGGGGCAGGATGGGGTGACTCTGCCGCAGGGCGGGGGGATGCAGCAGGGGGGGATGCAGCAGGGGGGGATGCAGGGGGGAATGCAGCAGGGGGGGATGCAGGGGGGAATGCAGCAGGGAGGGATGCAGGGGGGGGTACAGGGGATTCAGCAAGACAGGGTGCAGCAGGGGAGGGTAGAGCAGGGGGGGATGCAGCAGGGGGGGATGCAGCAGGGGGGGATGCAAGGGGGAGTGCAGGGGATGCAGCAGGGGAGGATTCAGGGGATGCAGCAGGGAGGGGTGCAGGGGGGGAGATTGCAGCAGGGGGGGCAACAGGGGATGCAGCAGCAAGGGGGGATGCCGCTGCAAGCAGAGACAGGGGGGCAGCAAATATTTGTTGTGGGGCAGGATGGGATGTTGACTCAGCAAGCTGTAAGACTTTCTGGGCAGCCTGTGGGGCAGCAGCAGCCACTGCAGCTCCAGCAGCAGCAGCAGCCACCGCAGCAGCAGCACACGGGAATCTCAGGTGAAATGTCAGGTGTTTTGCAGCAGTATGAGCCAGTTCGCGTGTACGGTGAAGTGGGCAGCTCCTATGGCGCCACTTCTGCTGGGGGAAGAGCGGAGGGACTTCGTTCGCAAGGCTCCTATGGCACTACTGCAAATACCCCTGGACCTGGGGGGTATGGTGCGAGTGCACCCTACAGTGGTGGTGCTACTACTGGTGACTCGTCCCTCTCTACTCCCCCTTGGCTTGCCACTGCCCCGGTTTCTACTACAAATGCTCCTCCCCTCCCCCCTGGACCACCTCCCACTTACGACACAAGAATCGACACAAGGGGTGCGTCTGCAGGAGCGGGGTTATCAGCCCAGCCGTACGCTGGTAACCGTAACACGAATACCAGTGAGCAATTCATTGGCAGCAGCAGCAGATCCATCGGGCCCGGTGGTTTGTCTTACGTTGTTGAACCCCCCCCCGCGATGCAGCCGGGCCAGGGGTACTCTGCCAGAGGACCAGAACCGGCAGGGTCCGGCGGGTATAATAATGGTGGCATGGGGAGCAGTAACACCGGGAGCGGTGGTTTCGGGAATAGTTACGTTGGTAATGTGGGTGCGCCTGGTGGTGGTGTGGGCGGTGGTTACTCCAATATGCCCTCTTATACGCCCACGCCTGCTCCTCCTCCTCCTGCTGAGGTTTATTTTAGTGGGGGCAGTGCGTATGGTGGACGGGCAGACGGAATTATTGGTCGGGCGGAGGGTTTTATGGCTCGGGCAGAAGGAGGGGCAGGAGGAAATGCGGGCTGGGCAGAAGGAAATAGAGGAGACGGGATTTTGGGCAAGCCGCAGGGAGTGATGATGAGTCCACCAATGGGGAGGCCGCCACAGGATCAGGAATTTGCGAACCGAGGGAAGCGGGGTGGGGCGGGCAGGAACAGGGGCAACAGCGGCGGTGCAGGGGGTCGGGACAGGGATCGTGGCAGTGGCGGTGGCGGTGGCGGTGGCGGTGGCGGTGGCGGTGGCGGTGGCGGTGGCGGTGGCGGTGGCGGCGGCGGTGGCAGTGGTGGTGGTAGTGGCACAGGGGGGCGTGATCGTGGGAGTGGCAAGGGCAGTGGTGGTGGTGGCAGTGGTGGCGGTGGTGGCGGTGGTGGGGGTGGCACCACAGGGGATCGTAATCGTGGTAGCAGCAGTGGTGGCGGTGGTGGGAGAGATGGCGGTGGTGCTAAGGAAACTCGCCACCGTTAGAAGGGGTGGGGTCGTGGAATAGAGGGAGTGGTCGGGAACAGTGGGAGGTTCGTTGAACAGCAGTGAAACTGGTGGTGGTGGTGCTGCTGCTGCTGGTGGTGGTGGTGCTGGTGGTGCTGGTGGTGCTGGTGGTGCTGGTGGTGCTGGTGGTGCTGGTGGTGCTGGTGGTGCTGGTGGTGCTGGTGGTGCTGGTGGTGCTGGTGCTGGTGGTGGTGGTGCTAGTGGTGGTGGTGCTAAGGAAACTCGCCACCGTCAGGAGGGGTGGAGTTGTGGAATAGAGAGAGAAGTTGTGGCACAGAGAGGGGTCTTGGGACAAACAGAGAGGAATTGGGACAGAGAGGGGTCTTGTAATGAAGGGATTGTTCATGGAACAGAGGGGTTTGGCAACAGAAAGCTTCTGGACCTAGACAGGAAAATGGGATCTCAAACCAACCACATGGTGCCATAAGATTGGTCTGATATTGCCAGATGATGTATCGGGGGAGTTTTAATTGGGGAAGGGAAGGGGAGGGCCATCTGGTGGAGGTGGCATGGGGGGCTCTGCTGTTGGTAATTGGACGGGGATTGGGCTAGGAGACCAGATAATTGCCCACATACCTGGTTAAGGTTGAACAGGGAGGAGAGAGCACTGCAGTTGACTAGATCATTTCACGCTAGATTCAGTCCTTTCCTTTGCCAGTGTAAGGTTCAACATTGAACCATTAGGTGGTGACAGATTGAGCTGTAGAGCAGCCTTTTTCAAGGATCTGCTCTCCAGCTTCTTCGCACTGCTCCCTGTCGCCTCAAATTTCGCCCTCACGTGGTACCCGTCTTGCGAATGCCACATTTTCACCGGTAACTTCCACGACCGTTTCGTTAAAATCCAAGTCTTCGCCAGGGCAACCTCTCCTGTCGACTTGCTTTGTGCGTTCCACACCACACACGGCAACAGCGATTTTCCACCAACAATTTTCTTTCAGCTTGCTTGTGATCTCTTGCGACTCGAAATTAGCTCTGGCTCTCCTACGTCTTTATGACAGTTCGCTCCACGCATGACGGTTCTGCTCTCACCCCTGACATCTCCGATTCCAGTTTCTGGCTACGCTGCTTCCGCCAATTTTTATTTCTTCCGTGATTGCCGCTTCGCCAGTTAGGTCTTCTGATTGAATTTGCGCGGCTGGCGGTCGTCACGGCAGCTGCGCGCCGAGCCGCAGCGTGCCGAGTCGCAGCGCGCCAAGGCGCTTCACATCGAGGCTTCATGGGGTCCGTGCTGGGTCGCATCGACGTCGAGACGCCGCGATTCACGGTGGAGGAGAAGACCGATGCGTTTGAGATTCGACGATACCCTCCGCAGATGGCGGCGGAAGTGACTTACGACGGCGACCACTTCCAGGTGCGGTGCAGCACGGCGCTTTACTGTGCATCCCGGTGCATTCCGTGCACCATATCCAGGTGATTGGTCGCGGAATATCATCCTTGGATGGTTGCTGTCCTCCAAAAAAACTCGTAACGTGTGACTTCTCTCTTCTCTTTTTACATAGAATCACCACTAGCTGTCTCCGCAAAATGCGGAGAAGCGACTAACAATGACCACGGCGTCTTCCACTTAAATCATGAAGCACTTTCATGTAATAGGGTTACCGATTCTGCGATCCAGTAATATCAATGAGGGTTTTTTTTTCCTCCTTTAGCAGGTTGTAATGAGGTTCCAGGTAACAATAGAGCTTCTTAGATTGTTCCTGCCGTGCCCGTGCATCTTGTGTCCCCCCCCTCCCCCAGCCCTTCCTCTCCCTCCCACTCCCTCTTCGCCGAGCGTGTTGTCACCGGGAGCATTTCCTTTGCTCGCTCAGGCTACATTGGAGTTCTGAGCCCAGTAGGTGATAATACAGGTGTTCCTTCAATGTATGAAGACGCCTCAGAAAAATAATAAAATGTAAAATTTGTGTTTTCACTCTGGTCCACTCACTCCCCTCCCTGCGCAGCGTGTTGGCTCCAGAAGCGGTTTCTTTGCCTTGGCATGCTACATTGGGGTGCTGGGTCCAGTGGATGACAGTTAAGCTGCTCCTTCAACTGTATCTGGTCATCCCTCCCTCACCCCCCTTGCACCTCCCCTCCCTGCCCAGCGTGTTGGCTCCAGAAGCGGTTTCTTTGCCTTGGCATGCTACATTGGGGTGCTGGGTCCAGTGGATGACAGTTAAGCTGCTCCTTCAACTGTATCTGGTCATCCCTCCCTCACCCCCCTTGCACCTCCCCTCCCTGCCCAGCGTGTTGACTCCAGAAGCGGTTTCTTTGCCTTGGCATGCTACATTGGGGTGCTGGGTCCAGTGGATGACAGTTAAGCTGCTCCTTCAACTGTATCTGGTCATCCCTCCCTCACCCCCCTTGCACCTCCCCTCCCTGCCCAGCGTGTTGGATCCAGAAGCGGTTTCTTTGCCTTGGCATGCTACATTGGGGTGCTGGGTCCAGTGGATGACAGTTAAGCTGCTCCTTCAACTGTATCTGGTCATCCCTCCCTCACCCCCCTTGCACCTCCCCTCCCTGCCCAGCGTGTTGGCTCCAGAAGCGGTTTCTTTGCCTTGGCATGCTACATTGGGGTGCTGGGTCCAGTGGATGACAGTTAAGCTGCTCCTTCAACTGTATCTGGTCATCCCTCCCTCACCCCCCTTGCACCTCCCCTCCCTGCCCAGCGTGTTGGCTCCAGAAGCGGTTTCTTTGCCTTGGCATGCTACATTGGGGTGCTGGGTCCAGTGGATGACAGTTAAGCTGCTCCTTCAACTGTATCTGGTCATCCCTCCCTCACCCCCCTTGCACCTCCCCTCCCTGCCCAGCGTGTTGGCTCCAGAAGCGGTTTCTTTGCCTTGGCATGCTACATTGGGGTGCTGGGTCCAGTGGATGACAGTTAAGCTGCTCCTTCAACTGTATCTGGTCATCCCTCCCTCACCCCCCTTGCACCTCCCCTCCCTGCCCAGCGTGTTGGCTCCAGAAGTGGTTTCTTCGCCCTGGCAGGCTACATCGGGGTGCTGGGTCTTGTAGATGAAATTGAAGCTGCTTTTTCAACTGCTTCTGGTTTTCCATCCCTGTCATCCCTTCTCTCCCTCTCATCCCTTCCTTTCCTTGCACCTCTCACACCCACCCCCACTCCCTGCCCAGCGTGTTGGCTCCAGAAGCGGGTTCTTCGCCCTGGCAGGCTACATTGGGGTGCTGGGTCCAGCGGATGATAGTTAAGCTGCTTCCTCCCTGTCATCCCTTCCCTCCCTCGCACCCCTCACACCCCACTCCCATTTCCGGCACAGCGTGTTGGCTCCAGGAGCGGGTTCTTTGCCTTGGCAGGCTACATCGGTGTGCTGGGTCCAGCGGATGACAGTTAAGATGCTCCTTCGACTGCTTCTGATTTTCCCTCTCTGTCGTCCCTTCCCTCCCTCGCTCCCTTCCAATTCTTCCTCCCTGCACAGCGTGTTGGTTCCAGAAGCGGTTGCTTCGCCCTGGCAGGCTACATCGGGGTGCTGGGTCCAGTAATAAACAGTTACGCTGCTCCTTCAACTGTATCTGGCCATCCCTCCCTGTCCCCCCCTTCCATTCCCCCTCGATGCACAGCGTGTAGGTTCCAGAAGCGGGTTCTTTGCACTGGCAGGCTACATCGGGGTGCTGGGTCCAGCGGAGAACAGAAAACCTGTTGCAGGGGAGGGAACGGGAGGGGAGGAGCGGCAAAAGATAGCCATGACTGCTCCTGTTATCACAGAAACAAGCGCTGCTGGTGCAGGAGCGGTGAACCACAGAAAATTGCGATGACTGCTCCTGTGGTAACAGAAGTGGTAACACCTGTTGCTGGAGAAACGGGTGCTGGCGAAGCAACGACAGCAGCGAGCAAGACGACAATGCAGTTTCTCCTGCCTGCGTCGTTCACACCAGAAAACACCCCGATTCCCACCAACCCAGACGTGCGCGTGCGACAGGTTCCTGCACGCCTGATTGGTGCGCTTACCTTTTCGGGACTCACGACGAATGCTGTGCTGGATCAAAAGTCGCGAGAGCTGCGAAGTGCGTTGGAGAAAGCAGGGTACGGTATCGCGGGCGAATATGTGCTCGCGCGTTACAACGACCCGTTCACGATTCCGTGGTTTCGCACAAATGAGATTCTGTACCCGTTAGAAGAGGCTCGGAAAGAGAGTGGTTCTTAAAGAAAATTCTCCGCTGGCCACATTGCAGTAAACCAAATTTATTTCGATCCCCTCCATCCAACCAACCAAACAACCAACCAGAGGTTACAGCAAAAATGTACACAGTATAGCATTATCCTTCCACAGGGTACAAGATCTCGTTAGTCCTCATAAACGGCAGAGTGAACGGCGGATTGTATCGCCCAACCACATAATCCCCACATACTTTATACCCAGCTGCTTCTAATGCCGCCTGCAGCTCCTGCGACTTGTGCTGAAGCACGGATTGCGTTGTGAGGCCCGAGAAAGTGACGGCTCCCAGAAGACGGGGCGGCAGCTGATGAATGGTGACTGCCGGGTTGGTAGGAATCGGTGTGGTGGCTGGTGTGAGGGATGCTGGCAGGAGGAACTGCATCGTGGTCTTGCCTGGAGAGGAAGTGGGGGCTGGGGGAGAGTGGGGTGTGGGGGGGAGAAAGGGGGGAGGGGAGAGGGAGGGGGGGAGGGAGGGGAAGAGGGGAGGAAGGGAAGAGGAGTGGTTGAGGCACAGGTGCCTGAGAAAGTGACTGCACCCAGGAGGCCGGGTGGCAGCTGATGAATGGTGACTGCCGGGTTGGTGGGGATGGGCGGGGTGGCTGGTGTGAGGGATGCTGGCAGGAGGAATTGCATCGTGGATCTTGCCTGCATCGTGGTCTTGCCTGGTGCTGTTGTTGGGGCTGTGGAAGGGGAAGGGTGGGGAGGGAGGACGGGAGAGTCGAGGGGAGGTTTGGGTATGAGGAAAGAGGACTAGGTGACTTTTGAGTCTCTGTGGAAGTGCATGACTGATGGCAGATATGCATGCATGCCTGGCGAAAGTGCCACTTCTTCCGTACCTGTCACCACAGGAGCAGTCATGGCGATCTTCTCACCCCCAGCAATGTTCTTCCCTGCCTCATCCCCTCCGCCTTCCCCTCCTCCTTCCCCTCCTCTTCCCACATCTCCGCCTTCTTCTGCAATATGTGTGAGCACCGGAGCAGTCATGGCAATCTTCTCACCACCAGTAGTGCTCTTCTCTCCCCCATCCCCTCCTCCTCCTCCCTCTCCTCCTCCTTTCCCTCCTCCAGCGTGTGTCAGCACGGGAGCAGTCATGGCAAGCTTTTCACCCCCCTCGCCTGGGCTGTCCGAATGGGCAGGTGCAGGTCGGTTCTGAGGAGCAGAGAGCGCGCCTATGTACCCTGCTAGGGCGGAAAAGGCTGTGTTGATGCCGTTCTGCGGAAAGACGGGATTGAGAGGGGTTGACAGGGATTAGAAGAAGTGGAGAGGAGCAGAGGGCACAGCTATGTACCCTGCTTGCGCAGAAAAGAGGTGTGTTGATGCTGTTCTGCTGCAGCAGCATGGATTCAGCAGGGTTGAGTGGCACTGTTGATGCATGGTGATGCACCCCGTACCCGGTGGTCGCCGTCGTACAACACTTGCGCCACCATCTGCGGAGGGTATCGCCAAATCTCAAGCGTATCCGTCTTCGCCTCCACTGAGATGCACCGGGATGCACCGAGATGCATCTCACTGCACCGTCCTGCACCTTTCTGCACCGTACAGAACCTTTCTGCACCGTACTGCACTGTACTGCACTGTACCTGGTGGTCGCCGTCGAACGTCACTTCCGCCACCATCTGCGGGGGGTATCGGCGAATCTCAAACGCGTCCGTCTTCGCCTCCACCGTGAATCGCGGCGTCTCCACGTTCACCCGACCCAAGACGATCCCCATTGGTGCGTCTACCACTCCTGTTACTACGATCAGTATTACCCGTGGAGGGTTATTGAGATTCCTAAAAAATCGTCTACACCTGTTACTAGTAGCACTATTATCACCAGTGGAGCACCACGCTGTACTTATGAGCTCGGCCGGATCTCGTAGATGTTGTTTCCTGTCGAGATTCCGAATTCCCGAATCGTTGGACGTCTAACTGGACTGCGCTTTGATCGAAAAATCTCGAAAGCTCGCTTGCTTTCTCGACAAAAACGAGTTGTGGATGAGACAGAGCGGCAATAGACTAGCACCTTGTATCGGGCGGACAATCACGAATTGCTGGCAGCGTCACGATATGAAGACGCTCCATCACTCGGACTCAAGAGCCATGCATCTCCCAAATTTCGTCTCCGGCGTCGATGATGGTTCGCTTGGCACGCACGCAAAGAAAAGGAAACGAGCTACGCCTACGGTTCGCAACTACCGTCGGCCTTCCCAAAACACGTCACCATCTACCGCTTGCGCGCACAGCTAGCATCTAGGACTTCTGTGCATGTCTACCGCGCCTCCAGGCATTCATGGCCACCGTCCTCGCTATTACTGCTACACGAATATTGAAGGTCTTGATTAGGAAGTTCAACCAGTTAATTGCGGTCCAAAACGGTTTTTATAGTCAGAAAAGGAGCTCCTATGGTAAAGCTCTTATGAAACTGAGTACACTTGCCACGGGAACTAGCTAATACACTTACAACAACATTGATATTTCATGAGGCATCACTTACATTCTTTATTCCAAGCCTAGACGAAAGGCGTGGAGTTGGAACCGGTGAAAGACCCACTTCCTCAATCTCCGACGCAGAGAAGCTAGGGGAGAGCGGGCTAGACGGAGATCTGGGAGTGGGAGGATTCACCGATGACAACGACGAGCAAGCAGCTGACCGCCTCATGACTGCACTTCTCAATGCCCCACAGGAGTCTCCGAATCTCACGACATTCGTTTCTACACCACAATCACCGGACAGTAGAGCTCGTATGTGTTCCATATTGCTTCTGTGGCTGTCGCACTGCTCCTCCTGGTTCCACCCAGCATTAGGATTCACGCTGTCATGCCGGTTGCTCCAAGGCTCATTCTCCTCGACGCAATAACGCCGTGAGTTGAGGCTTCCACGACCAAGCACGACCTGGCAGGGTGTGCCATTCCCTTCCATCTCCATGCTACACACGTTCCCCTTTGACACAAGCTGCGTGCCACGAGAACTCTCACGAGGGAAAAACTGGCATTCTTCGAATCCCAATTCGGATCGAAAAGCCATTCTTGATGACACAGCTTGGGTTGCTGAATCTTCTAAAAACCGGAAGCTACCTTGTGGTTCATATGCTAGGCCGGCAGGTAAATCGCCAAGCCTATTCCCACGTGCATTGCCAGATCCCAGGAGCGCACAAGGAGCAGTGGGGGGTTGGGAAAGAGCGGCGAAGCTTCCTGGAAAGCGGTAACTCTCAACCAGTTCGTTTGCAGCCTGCAGGGCCATGGCTCGCACTCTCGCTGCTGCCCCAGCTGCCACGTCAGCAGCTTCAGCTGCTGATGACACGTGGCCAATCAGAGCACAGCTGGCCCGACCACCAGCGCCGCCGCTGCTGCTGCTGCTGTTTCTTGTCACACTGCTGTCAGCACCCCATGCCTCTGCTCCCCATGCTGGAGCCTTTGCTGCCACTCCCTTCTCCTCCTTGTCCTCCTCTTCATCGTCTTCCTCTGTTGCCACGTCCTCTGCAGTCCAGCAATCCGCTCCACCAGACCTTGCAAGAGACTCTAGAGAATTTTGAAATCTCTCAAGAACCAGTCCACTAGGTCCGGTGCTGCAGCAATCTCCACTCATTCCCCATGGGAGGTCAAACCCCTGTTGCTTGGCATCAAAATCATCACCACCATCGGAAGAAGCAGCAGCAGCATCGCCATCGCCATCATCATCACCACCCTCTGCTAGCAGGGGGGAAGAAGGACAGCCGTGCCTCAGCTGCTGCCCCTCTTCCCTCCAGAGATTCACCTCTGTTGCTTCCAGCATTTCTCTTGGCAGCGATATGGACTTGCCAAAAGCACCGTCAGGGCGTCTTGCATCCGTGCTGGTGGTCTGATCCGTCCTTTCCTGGAGACTGCTGCAGGCGGATGCAGTACAGTGGGATGCGGTATGATGGGATGCGGTACGGTGGGATGGAGTGCAGTGGGACGTGGTGCGGTTGGAGGCGGTACAAGGACGCGGCACACGCTGCACGTGGTAGTTACCACTGGGGCACACCACATGGTACGTGCTTCCCAGTCGCAGCACCTCCTCAGGTTGAAGTGTGCCACAACACGATGTGACTGAAAGGAGGGCTGTGCCAGGGGGAAACCCCTGCAGTAGTGCTCCCGCAGTGACTGGTTCGGTGAGAATGTGGGCCCCACCGTCCGGGAGGAGTAGGATGATTGTGGCTGGTGAGAATGGCTCTGGCTCTTGGGACTCTGCTGAAACGGGCGGTGAATCTTGAGGAGTTGTTGGGGAGAATTGTGATTTTTGAGACGCGGAGGGAAAGAGCTGAGGGGGGGAGAAGTTACGTGGGGAGAGTAATCGAGAGACGAAGCCACCTGCGCGACCGGAGGTTAGAATTGATAGCCGCCGACCAAAAGGACTGCTCCTGCTGCTGCTGCTGCTGCTGCTGCTGCTGCTGCTGCTGCTGCTGCTGCTGCTGCTGCTGCTAACACTGCTGCTGCCGGAGGTGCTGATGCCAATGCTGCCACTGGTGCTGCTGCTGCCGCTGCCACTGCTTCTACTGCCGCTCCCCAAGCCATCACATTGAGAGTTCGTGTATGTGGAGTTGGCAGCAACAGCAGCAGCACAAACAGCATTGGCAGCAGCACCAGCAGCAGCATAAAAAACGGCCCCAGCAGAGGCACCAGCACCAGTAGTGGCAGAAGCAGTAGCAGGTGCAGTGGGTAGAAACGAGCGGCAGCAGCTCACTGCAGCACCTGCGAGCGGCGAATCATCTTCACCGTTGGAACTTTCCCACGTGGCAGGATCACAAATCTGCTTAGTGGACCGTGAGACTGGGACTGAGAGCGGCAGGTCCTCAGCACAAACCACCTGAGAAATCTCCTGGACAAGTCGGCTCATTTTCTCCTGACGCGAATTGAGAATATTTGCGTGATACCACAGAAGGCTGCAAGCTTCAGACTTGAGATTTGAAGCTTGGGGTTTGAGGCTTGAAGGTTGAAGCCTGTGCCTTGAATCTTGATGCTTGGGACTTGAGACTTGAAGAAGCAGGTTAGCAGCACGGTTGGGATGAGTGTGTGAGGACGCGTGGAAGGTGGGGATAACGGGTACGACCTTACAGTGGAATCCAAGACAGCAAGTTCAGGATTCAGAACCTGCGAAACGTTTTTCTGTAGGAAATTTCGTGCTTTTAAAATCGTCCTCCGTAAGTTCGCCGCGTTTTCACAACCAAAACGGAGTGGATGCAAGAGGAGGGTGAGGAGGTTGCGGGAGAGCAGACCGTGTTATAGTAAAGAGAATGTGAGGGCCTCCTTCTGAGAAGCAAAACGACGTGTTGGTGCTGGCAGCGCGAGAACGTCCTTGCAGACAAAAAGCCGAGGAACGGATTAATAAGCAAAGCGAGCGCGATGTGCTTATTTCTGAAAAGGCACGTGGTGGATACGCCGCGAAGACACGTGAGCGTCACTCTTGCCTCGTGCGTATATGCTATCACCCTAACGCCAATTTCAGACGCTGAAGTGTCTGTTAGGTGACAGCACAGTATTCGTACCAAGGCTGCACCTCCGAGCCTGTTACTACCGAGCCTGCTACCGAGCCTGCTGCTAACCGAGGCTACTACCGAGGCTGCACCGAAGGCACTACGGTACGCCCTACTAGCCCGAAGAAGTTCGCATCCGACCTTACTAAGGTGCGAGCGGAGGCACGGTTGGTATGCCTTTTTTCCACCGTCGGATCAATCCGACGAAGCACAAACGCTTCGAGGAAGGTGGAAAATACGGGAGTCCCCAAGGGATCTCTCAGACGGCCCGACAATAGGCGAGGGTTCTGAGAAGAACGAACAAAAGGAATCTGATCCGAAGATGCAAGGGTACGCAAGTCTTTGACTCTTTTCAGTCGAGTCGAGCAAGGAGTTATCCAGCTTGAACTCAGCAAGAGCATGTGCCATCGACTTAGGGTTTGCCGAATTGGAGGTAAGGCCGCGTCTCTCGACTCCAACTGGGCTCGTCTAGTTGGTATGTCTTGTGAGTCCATGGTGAAAGAGGTCCTACCGAGCGGGTGTAGTGGTAACCGTAACCGACAAGTCAGCGCGAGACCGCTTTATCCGTCTCTGCTCTGGCTTCGCCAGGTGTCATCTGAGAGGACTCAAAGGACAGCTCACTATTCGTTCCTATGTCCAGCGGCTCATCTACGCTTCGCGACGCGCGCCGATACTCGCGAAGGAGGAAACCCGTGGCCTGTTTCTGCTCGGGTGACTTCGCTGCGTGTGACGGAAAAGGCTGGACTTCACCTCGGTTTCCTCGTAGGACGGTGCTTTGTGCCGACCAGCTATGGCTGACAGGCTTGAATCACCTGGGGATTGGATGGACTGGCGTTGAAATTCCAGTTAGGAGGTAACAAGGCGAGGCGGAATGTGTCCGACAATGATGGAACAAAAACACCTAGAGTATCTGTCTAACCTAGCATTATGTTTATCTGACCGTACCGTATACCCCAGTTTCAGAAAGTCGGTCACGGGTGGCGAGTGTGTGTTACCCTGTATTCGCTGACTTGGAGGTGACAGCGAGAACCGCCAGCATTGCAGCAGTTCCCTTTGCCTTGGTGGATTGGCAACGCCAACTTTCGCCGATCTGTTTGGGAAATGTCCACCCACAGCGCGCCAGCATAGCAAACTCTCGCAAAGATAATTGCCAGCCCACATCGCTGATCAGCTGCTGCTGAACCCGTGCCGTGCGACAGACCCCTTTTCCACCCAAACAGTCGGACCTTCAACGAATTGCCAACCTCGATAAGAGATAACTCGTTACAGCTCTAAACTAGAAAGCACCCAGAGCAACAACGAAATGTCTCAGAATGTGTAAAATTATTGTCATTTCTGAGAAGGTGCTTTTATGCTTCAAACGGAATCACGCGCAGTACAATGGTAACGAACACTAAACCGTCATACAATATTAGAGATAATAGGAGTTTCTCGTATTGAAGAACGAAATTATGCACGGGTAATTACAAGCGAAAGGTGCCTGGGTGGGTGACGCAGCTAGCGTGTGGCTCTGGGCTTGCAGAGAAACTGGTGAGGCATGGCACAGGGGAGTGAGGAGGATGAGGAGAGTGAGGAGCATGAGGGATTGAGGAGCATGAGGTGAGCGGGGAGGATGAGGGGAGTGAGGAGGATGAAGGGAATGGGGAGGATGACGGAGTGAGGAGGATGAAGGTGCAACCGCAGCAGCAGCAACATGTATGGCAGCAGAAACGCCAATGCTAACGCATCACCTCTCCTCTCAAACCATTCCATCCCATATCCCTTCTGCTGTGCCTTTCTTTACTCCTGTCCCACCTGCTCGATCAACTGGCTCAGCTCACCTGGTTGGTTAAGCCGTCCCAAGCGCATTCCCGGGCACGACTTTCGGAACGACTTTCTAAATGACATAATCAAAATCTTTAGTTTTGCTTAGCCGGCTCACCTGGTTGGTAAATCCATCTTGTGTGCACTCCCTTGCGCGGGCGGCAGTCTCAGCCACAAGAGTGCAACGCTCGCGGTCGTCAGGTTGAAGATCGTTCTCCTTGTCCTTGGGCGGGCGGCAGGTTACGCCCTTGCCATTCCTTATTCCTGCCCCACCTGCTCTCTCCAAAGTCTCAACGCACCTGGTTAGTGATCTTGGGCGCACTCGCGGGCGCGGGAGGCAGTTTCCGCAACAAGCGTGCAGCGCTCGCGGTCGTCAGGTTGGAGGTCATTCCCCTTGTCGACGGGCGGGCGGCAGGCAACGCCCTTGCCGTTCCTTATTCCTGTCCCACCCTCTCCCTCAACCAGCCCAGCGCACCTGGCTGCTGAAACCCCACCATCCGCCTCAACCATCCCAGCCCACCTGGTTGCTGAAGCCGTCCTGAGCACATTCCCGGGCGCGGGCAGCAGTCTCAGCCACGAGAGTGCAGCGCTCGCGGTCGTCAGCTTGGAGGTCGTTCTCCTGGTCCTTGGGCGGGCGGCAGGCGATGCCCTTGCCGTTGATGGAGCGCACGTGGGCAAAGTACATCTCATCGGTACTCAGGTCTACTCCTCCCGTGCTGGGCTTGTCGGTGCGGTGCACGTATACCGCCTCTACCTGCACCAAGCAGTCACAAAGACAAAGCACGCGGTAATTTAGGCGAGTATTGAGGCGCCTGAGAAGATTCAGCTGCACTGCCAGCCTCAACCTGTTTTGAGGCGCCTCAAACAATCAGAGACACCATCGAGGTTGACCGGCGATGCCCTTGCCCGTGATGGAGCGCACGTGAGCAGGGTACATCTCGTCCGTACTCAGGTCTACTCCTCCCGTGCTCGGCTTGTCTGTCCGATGCACGTATACCGCCTCCACCTGCACCAAGCAGTCACGGCACAAAGGTACACCAAAGAGGATGGCAGGCAACGCCCTTGCTGTTAATGGAGCGCACGTGGGCGAAGTTCATCTCATCGGTACTCAGATCCACTCCTCCCGTGCTGGGTTTGTCTGTCCTGTGGACGTATACCACCTCCACCTGTATTGAACGAGCGTGGAGCATGAAGGATGGCAGATTTCCTAACAAGTGTTTGAGGTGCCTGGGAGAACTAGGTAGATCGGCGCCTCGACCTGTTCTGAGGCGCATCAAAGGGTGGCAGGAAGCACCCCTGCCGTTGATGGAGCGCACGTGAGCAAAGTACATCTCATCAATACTCAGATCCACACACCCCATGATCAACCAACACCACCAGCATGCACCTTGCGTGGGTTGACAATCATCTTGCTTGCGGTGGCCATAGTAGTCCGTTGCACACCTTGGGATCATCCTCCCCGCACAGACCACCTTGGGATCATCCTACCACCACCACTCTCCACCACACTCCACCACTCTCCACCGCTACCACCACTGCCACCCCCACCAGCACGCACCTTGCGGGGGTTGACAATCATGTTGCGGTGCCCGTAGTAATCGATGCACAGCTTGGGATCATCCTCTCCTCGCAGACCACCTTGGGATAATCCTACCACCACCACTCTCCACCGCTACCATAAACAGCAGCACCACACACCTTGCGGGGGTTGACGAACATCTTCCGGTGCCCGTAGTAGTCGATGCACACCTTGGGATCATCCTCTCCTCGCAGACAATATGGGTTTTTCCGCCGCTGCAACATTCTCTCCACAGCAAACCTCTTCTCCTCCTCGCTCCACACGTCCTCCGGCCCGTCCTCCTCACATATGTGCGCCGAGAAGACATAGGTCCCGAGGGCAATGCTGCAGCAGCAGAACCAACTACCACCAGCACCACCACCAGTAGGCGACGCACCTTGCGGGGGTTGACGAACATCTTGCGGTGCCCGTAGTAGTCAATGCACACCTTGGGATCATCCTCTCTGCGCAGACAGTACGGCTTTTTCCGCCGCTGCAGCATCCTTTCCACAGCAAACCTCTTCTCCTCCTCGATCCACACGTCCTCCGGCCCGTCCTCCTCGCATATGTGCGCCGAGAACACGTAGGTCCCGAGGGTGATGTACGGGAGGGATTCGAAGCGGTGGAGGATGGTTGGGAGGGTTGCGGGTGGTTGCAGGGCATCTGGCGGTGTGGAAGGGGGTTTGATTTGAGACACCTCAAAAGTCGCTTGCTGTGCTGAGCCAAAGCGCCCAGCCCCATCACCACGATGCATGCCGGTTCCAACCGGTACACGCTGCTTGCATTGGAAGTTGGGGGATTGGGCGCTGGCGCTTTGAGGCACGTGGCGGAATCGTGGGACGCACCTGTACTGGATGAAGCCGTAGGCGCCGGTGCGATGGAAGGAGTGCTGGCGCCAGCGGGAGGGGTCATCATCCAGCACCACCATCTTGCCGCGAGGCCGCTTGGGGAGGTCCCCGGCTCCTGCTGCCACCTGCTCTGCTGCCTGTGTGTGCACGCATGTATGCATGTATGCAGCAAATGCAGGCAAATGCAGGGACGCTCAAGCAGGAGGGGTCATCGTCCATCCACCACCATCTTGCCACGAGGCCGCTTGGGGAGGGCCCCTGGATGGAGAGAGGGTGGAGGGAGGGGCGGGTGGAATGATCTTCAAAGCACACCCATGCCAGCGAGAGGGAGGGATCGTCGTCCAGCACCACCATCTTGCCGCGAGGCCGCCTTTTGAGAATTCTCAAAAATCGCCCCCGAGCCGAGGGCGCTTGGGGAGGGCCCCTGGATGGATGGAGTGGTCTCTATAAGTCCACCCACACACTGCACCCAGAGCATCTGGCGGTCGAGGTAGATCCTTAGATGCCCTCCCGTCTCCTCCACCTCTTCTTCCAACACGCACTGCAGCACCACCATCTCGTACTGCACACAGAATACCACACCACACCACACCACACCACACCACACCACACCACACCACACCACATCACATCACACCACACCGCAACACACCTCCGCAGCATATTGCACCACACCGCACCACACGAAGAAACACAGACGCACAGACCAGTAGCAGCGCACAGCAGTCGCACGCACAGCAGCAGAACACACAGGAGGGACAAGCGTAACCATTCGGCAGTGACTTTTGAGTCGACTCAAAAGTCACCAGGAGGGACAAGCGTAACCATTCGGCAGCGAAGGCGTTCCATCATCACTCTGCCACCCGTCGATCAGGGGAGTGTCGTCCACAGAAGCGCTTCAGGCGAGCTGCAGTCTAGAGAGAATCTTTTAGCAAGAGATTGACAGTAGTAAAGCACACCCTGTTAAAAACCGACAGAAAAACGGATCCGAACTCTCATTCCACTAGCAAACACGTTTCGGTTGACTAGGACAGGCTCCAAGTCAAACCTTCATAGTCCCAACACCACCCTGTTTTGAGTCGACTCAAAACAAACCTTCATAGTCCACTCTGACTAGGACAGCACTCTGGCACCCGCCCGTCGATCAGAGGAGTCTGAATCGATCGGTTAAGGACTATGGCAGGCGGCCTTACACGCAACGCAAATAGAATTTGGTTGAATAGATGGGAAAGGAGTTGGAAAGAGAAAGGATGGGATGGAGATCCAAACAGTACCAGGAAGTTGTGATGCTCCTCCATCACCATCTGGGTGAGCTTGCCGGCAATCACAGAAACTGATGAGATTATTACTTGGGTGACTTGATAGCCTCATTTCTAGCACCCCCTGTTCACCCCACAACCCACCAGGAAGTTGTGATGCTCCTCCATCACCATCTGGGTGAGCTTGCCGGCTATCACAGTGTGCCCATCCATCTTGTGCCACCAACACCCCTCCAACCGCCGCTTGCTGCGCTGCGCCAGCGTGCCCAGCCCCACCACCATGATGCGTGCCGGTTCTAACCGGTACGCGCTGCTTAAAGGGGGGTGGGGGTGGGCGAGGGGAGAAGGGGCGAGAGGGGGGCGGGGTTTGTGATGCCTCGTAGGTCGCTTGCTGGGCTGCGCCAGAGCCCCCAGCCCCACCACCACGATGCGTGCCGGTTCCAACCGGTACGCGCTGCTTGCAAGGGAGCAAAAGCGGGTGGGTGGGGGGAGGGAGTGGGGGAGATAGGAGGTTCGAGAACCCAAATAGCCGCTTGCTGCGCTGAGCCAACTTTTGAGGCGCCTCAAAAGCGGGTGGGTGGGGGGAGGGAGTGGGGGAGATAGGAGGTTCGAGAACCCAAATAGCCGCTTGCTGCGCTGAGCCAACTTTTGAGGCGCCTCAAAAGCGGGTGGGTGGGGGGAGGGAGTGGGGGAGATAGGAGGTTCGAGAACCCAAATAGCCGCTTGCTGCGCTGAGCCAACTTTTGAGGCGCCTCAAAAGCGGGTGGGTGGGGGGAGGGAGTGGGGGAGATAGGAGGTTCGAGAACCCAAATAGCCGCTTGCTGCGCTGAGCCAACTTTTGAGCCCCCAGCCCCACCACCACGGTACGCACTGCTTGCGGAAGGGTGATGAAGGGGGAAGAGGAAGGAGGGGAGGAGGAGGGGGGGGGGGGGGGTGGGGGGGGGTTGGTTTAGAGGGGAGGGGTGAGGAAGGGGGTTTGATTTGAGACACCTCAAAAGTCGCTTGCTGTGCTGAGCCAAAGCGCCCAGCCCCATCACCACGATGCATGCCGGTTCCAACCGGTACACGCTGCTTGCATTGGAAGTTGGGGGATTGGGCGCTGGCGCTTTGAGGCACGTGGCGGAATCGTGGGACGCACCTGTACTGGATGAAGCCGTAGGCGCCGGTGCGATGGAAGGAGTGCTGGCGCCAGCGGGAGGGGTCATCATCCAGCACCACCATCTTGCCGCGAGGCCGCTTGGGGAGGTCCCCGGCTCCTGCTGCCACCTGCTCTGCTGCCTGTGTGTGCACGCATGTATGCATGTATGCAGCAAATGCAGGCAAATGCAGGGACGCTCAAGCAGGAGGGGTCATCGTCCATCCACCACCATCTTGCCACGAGGCCGCTTGGGGAGGGCCCCTGGATGGAGAGAGGGTGGAGGGAGGGGCGGGTGGAATGATCTTCAAAGCACACCCATGCCAGCGAGAGGGAGGGATCGTCGTCCAGCACCACCATCTTGCCGCGAGGCCGCCTTTTGAGAATTCTCAAAAATCGCCCCCGAGCCGAGGGCGCTTGGGGAGGGCCCCTGGATGGATGGAGTGGTCTCTATAAGTCCACCCACACACTGCACCCACCCACCTTGACACAGTACCCATCTGCACCGCACTGCACCCACCTTAAGAGCCACAATCTCAGCCGCCTGCTTCCTCATGCTAGCCGTGAGCCGCCCCACTGTCTCATTCAGCTGCGCCGCCCGCTGCTCCGCGTCCCGTGCGGGCGCCTCCAGCACCACCGCCCAGTCGCCGCCCACGTCCCCCGTCCCGTTGCCGCCCGCCTTGGCTCTGGCCTGCTGCAGCGCCTGCACGCTCTCCACCTGCCCGCCCAGCCGCCCCACCTCCTCCCGCACCACCCCCGTTACATTTTCGGCTGCGATCCGTGCCACATACTCTGGGGGGGAAAGTGGGGGGGGATGGGGGGCGGGGTGGGGGCAGGGAAGAGGGGGAAGAGGTAGGGATGTTGGTCAAAGGAGCCCGCCCAGCCACCCCACCTCCTCCCGCACTACTCCCGTGACGTTCTCTGCTGCGATCCGCGCCACGTACTCTGTGGGGAGAGAGAGAGGGAAGAGGTAGGGGGGCAAATGATGAGTCAACTCACAGGTCCCCTCCACCGGCCCGCCCAGCCACCCCACTTCCTCCCGCACCACCCCCGTTACATTTTCCGCTGCGATCCGTGCCACGTACTCTGGAGGGAAGGGGAGGGGGAAGAAGGGGGACAATTGATGAGGCAGGGTGCTGAGTCAAAGGGGGGCCGCTCAGCTGCCGCCCCACCTCCCTCCCTCCCACACCACCCCTGTCACGTTTTCCGCTGCCATTCGCGTGATGTGGTCTGTGAGAGGGGGTGGGGAAGCAGGGGGTACGTAGAAGTAGGGGGGGCTGAGGCAATGGGGAGGATGGAGGCAGGGGAAATAGGGGAAGGTAGAAGAATAAGGAGAGGCAGGAGAGAGAAGACTTTTGAGTCGACTCAAAAGGGAGGTGACATTTGAGTCGACTCAAAAGGGAGGTGACTTTTGAGTCGACTCAAAAGGAGAGGCAGGAGAGAGAAGGGAGTGGCATGGCAAGCTTTGGCCTCGGCTCTGGCGCGCTGCTGCAGCAACTGCACGCCCAGCTGCCCCGCCTCGCCTCTCCAGGTGAGTTTTGAGTCGACTCAAAACTCAAAACTCGCTTTGGCCTCGGCTCTGGCGCGCTGCTGCAGCAACTGCACGCCCAGCCGCCCCGCCTCCCCCTCACCATGGCAGAGGGGCGGAGGCGAGAGGGAGAAGGCGAGGGGACGGCGGCAGAGGGGCGCAGGCGGGGGGCGGGAGGCGGGGGGGATTAAGAAAAGGACGGATTTGTGGAAGATAGGCAGGACTCAGGAGAGAGGGGGGGAAAAAGGGGGAATGATGTGATGGGGGAGAGAAAGGGGAGATGGAAGAAGCAAAGAGGAGGGATCGAATGGAAGGGATGTACATGGGTGGGTGTGAGCTGACGGGAGGAGATTAGCAAGAATGGGAAGCATGGAGGGAGGGGGGAGCATAGAGGGACGACGAGGGAGCATGGGGAGTGGAATTATGGGGGGAAGGGAACGGCGAACGGACCTTCAATCGCCTTGAGTCGTATGTCAAGATCAGCTGATGGCTTCCTTCCCTCCCACACGTGTTGCTGCCACGTCACACGCCACGTCACATGACACCCGTCATATGTCATGCCACGTCAGCCGCACCGTGTCATGCCAAGCGATGGGCGAAGGTAAGGATGTGGGTGTTGCCAAAGACGTCTAGTTTCAGGCATGCTTTTGAGTCGACTCAAAAGTAAGGATGTGGGTGTTGCCAAAGACGTCTAGTTTCAGGCATGCGAGCAGAAATGCAGAGCATTTTGATGCGCCTCAATGTATGTGAAGTGAAGTGGGAGGATTTTCTGCTCCATGGGTTTCAATTCCACTTTTGAGGTGCCTCAAAAGTCGCCTCAAAGTTTTTGAGGTGCCTCAAAAGTCGCCTCAAAGTTTTTGAGGTGCCTTAAAAGACATGCAGAGCATTTTGATGCGCCTCAATGTATGTGAAGTGGGAGGATTTCGGCACTTTAAAAAACCGTCTCAGAACATAGGATCAGAACATGGTGCATGGCGCACCTGGTGCATGAGGACAAGAGAGAGAACGGCGGTGATGAGACAGCCTGTCGATATGCCCTGCCACGTGGCAACAGCATGGGGCAAAACGGCACGGGTGGATCCAACGATGCGAGTCGCTGCTGCACATATCAAATAAACATTGTACGCAATTCTGAGGATGACTGCGGCGGTAGGTCACCAAGGTCTGCCGTAATCTAGGGGTATTTCGGTGTCAGCGGTTGAGACGAAAGGAGGACCAATAAGGGGCTGCAAGCTGACCAAAAAAAAAAAAAAGTGTTTCGCTGTCACACCACGCAAGAGCAACAAGAGCGGCCATAGTCAAGGAGCTGCAAGCTGTCAATCCTCGCTTCCCCCCCAACCCAACCCAACCTTTCCTGACCTCCTTCCCCTCCACCCTCCTCCTTCCCCCTTCTCCCCCAGATGTGAATTTTGTGCACTCTGAGTCATTTTTTAGGCAATTGGATAGTCATTCCCCCACCCACCCCACCCCACCCCCCCCCCCCCCCCCCCCCCCATTCCCCCCACCTCCCCCCCCCTTCCCCTCTTTCCTTCCCGGCCTCTCTCCCCCTCCCCCTCCCCTTCCCCCCCGCCCCTATTTCCGCTCAAGTGTGTGTTTTTGCGCCCTCAGAGCCGGATTGCGCGTCCGCACGGAGATGCCGCTTTTCAGAATTCTCAAACATCGGCACGGAGCTGCCGACGCGGGGTTAACACGAGGCGCGACAACTTGATAGGTTCACAAGGGGATGGATTTTTAGTCGAGTCGACAATCGAGGCTGGGGAGGCTCACAATCGCCGCCAGCTGTCGCCTGCGCTTCGCAATGATCACTCTCCCCGGGAGAAGTCGGAGTGCGCATCCGCGCGCAGCTACCGAAGCAGGGGCAACACAACAACCTTAAAAGGTTCACAATGGACTTCTAGTAAGTCGACTACTAAGGGGGCTCAGGAGGCTCACAATCGCCAGCTGTCGAGTGCGCTTCGCCATGACTATCATCCCCACGCCGCTGGCTGCCCACTGACGGATGTCGCCCTGCCCCTTCATCAACGGATGATGCTCTCTGCCGGCCGTCATTCACTTGCCGGCCGTCGTTAACGACTTGCCGGCCGTCGTTCACTACTAATCGCGCGAGCAGCGCAGCTTCAGAAGAGCGAGCCACGAGAGCAGCACGGCGGGTGCGAGGGAAAGCGCTGCGGTGCAAGGAACAATAGCGCGACTCGGAGGCGGCGCAAGGAACAAATACGAGTCGACTAAAAACGCCGCGAGAGCAGCCCGGCGGTGCGAGGGAAAACGCCGCGGCGCAAGGAACAAAAGAGCGACTCGGAGACGGCGTCTAGAAAGAAAAGGTGTTGGCGGCAACACCAATTTCTGAGACCCTGAGTGATAAGTACTATCGCACTTCTATTTTTTAGGTCAATTTCTAGAATTCTCGAAAACGACTTTCAAACGCAAGTTGGCAGTGCCACCTCGGAAGTGCACTGCACAGGACTTCGAAATGCGAATTGCTGGCTCCATGTGGTGCTGAGAGAGTTTTATCCATACTAAATGGCTATAACGCGGATGTTGACCAACGTCGTCTGCACTGAGAGGTGGTTGGGAATTCGGAATGAACTGAACTGATGCCGGCGGTGGGTTCAAGGACACTCTCGGACGTTCGCTGACGACGACACGACTTCTGCTACAGTGCTTCAGGTCCTAAATTCCCGATCTCAACTCAACCCAATGCCATCGACGTGATGAAGTCAAAGCTGTGATTGAACCTCAAGCTTCCACCCATCCACCACACCACACCACACTGCATTCGCTGGCGACAGCGATACCCTTCGTCCATAGGTACGGTAGTCGTTGAACAGTGCGATGCAAACCCGCATATAAACAAGCAAGGAATGCAAATGGTTTGCCGCGAAGGACGGAAACCACCGCGTCGCGAATCGCGATGATGTTCGCTCCTAAATCAAATATTCACTGACACGTGCAGCGAAGTTACACTCCAAACTCTACAGCCTCACCAGTGTTACATTGTTACGTGTTTTAGGGACATTTTTTCGCCAGACAGTGTCAAAATGTAACTACTGTAGACTGATGTTGTGACCAAACGATGCCTGAATTTTACAGTAATTTTTCACCATCACATGTATCTCATGCCCGAATCTTCTTTGAACCTAGGATCCCATAGTTATAAGCATAAATGACACGGCCACAACAATATTCCCCTTTTCGAAAATTGCCTGCCCTCCATCCCTGTGGTCCCCCAATCCACACCTCTCGTGTGATGCGAAGCATGCAACACCTCGCCCGGCACTGTATAAGAAAAGTTACCATCAAACGAGGTACACCATCACCCACGTGTGTACATAGGGTACATACATCACCATCATCACTCCGCTAATACCGCCCCCCTCCACCACCACCACCACCACCACCACCACCACCCCGACTGCTATACCCACCCCCTCCCCCTCCCCCACCACCACCCCCTTGATACCCATGATGCTCCTGTTGCCTGTAAGCCCCTCCTCCCCCTCCTTTCGACGACCTTGGAGGTGCTTCCTCCTCCTCATACTCATCGTACCCTCCCCTCCCTCCTCCACCTCCCCCACCCCCTCCTCTCCCCCCGTCCCTGCCATAATCCCTACCCCTATCGTCATACCCATCATCCCGCCCGTAATCCCCTCCCCCTCTCCCCCCACCCCCTCCCTGTCCCCCATGTGCTGCCCTGCTGCCAGAGCCGTGGGAGTGGCTGTCGTGCGGGTCCCCCCCTCCAGATGCGGCTGGGGCGTCTGTGAAGGAGGGGGGGGGGAGGGGGGTTGGAGGGGGAGAGAAGGTGATTGCACTGCTGCCAGAGCTGCGAGAGTGGCTGTGGTGAGGGTCCCCGCCACCCGATGCAGCTGGGGCGCATGTATGTGTGTGAGCGGGAGGGGGTAAACAGGGAAACGTTCGCAACGTCTCCTTCTGTCGACATTGGGTATTTTCAAGGTGAAAGTTGTGAGTCGAGGGTTAAGAGTCGAGTGTTTGTGATTTACGGTTGTGTTACCTGCAAAGAGCGAGTTGAGGCCTGGCTTCTTGCCCTTGCTCTTCTTCTTCAGCTCCAGCGCCCCACCTGCAATAAAACACACGACCCCGACACATAACAGGAACAATAACACGGCCATACAGAGAGAGACATTTTTTAGGCGCCTCAGACATTGAGGCCTGGCTTCTTGCCCTTGCTCTTCTTCTTCAGCTCCACCGCCCCACCTGCCGTGGAACCCACATCCCCGACCCGACGCATCGTACACGGCCGGACAGAGAGAGGAAAACAGAACAGCATGGTGAGTCGGTGTTTCAGGCAAGTTCGAAATTTTGAATTAACCATTGACTTATCTTCACACCGAATGGCTCACCCTGAAAGGAGATTGGTGATCGACAAGATAGGAGGACCAGGCCGGGCAAAAAGTTGGAAGAGGCTCGGACGGATGCATCACAACATACCGAGAGGGGAATGTGTCTCCTGCACGATCTCCATGTTGCGGTAGGTGTAGCCGACGAAATTGATGTCCTTGGATGGCAGCATCTGAGGTTGGGAGAGAACGTAGGGAGGAGTGGAGAGAAGGGGTGCGACAAGGAGTGGGCATGTCGCATGCACGATATACATGCTGTGGTAGGCGTAGCTAAGATAGTCAACGTCCTTTCTTGGATGGCAGCAGCATCTGGGTCTCATCCACTGCTGGGCGGCCTCTTGAGCTGTGAGGCTGTGTGACTCTGTGTGACTGTGTGTGACTCTGTGCGACTCTGTGTGACTGTGTGTGACTCTGTGTGACTCTGTGTGACTCTGTGTGACTGTGTGTGACTCTGTGTGACTGTGTGTGACTGTGTGTGACTCTGTGTGACTCTGTGTGACTCTGTGTGACTCTGTGTGACTGTGTGTGACTCTGTGTGACTCTGTGTGACTCTGTGTGACTGTGTGTGACTCTGTGTGACTGTGTGTGACTGTGTGTGACTCTGTGTGACTCTGTGTGACTCTGTGTGACTCTGTGTGACTCTGTGTGACTGTGTGTGACTGTGTGTGACTCTGTGTGACTCTGTGTGACTCTGTGTGACTCTGTGACTCTGTGTGACTCTGTGTGACTCTGTGTGACTGTGTGACTCGTGTATCTCTCAGAACCCAACATCCAAGGACAAACGCATGCATGCATCTGATGCTCACTCACCCTCTTCCATGGGGGCCTGAATTCTGCGCTCCACTGGCCTCAGGGGCCTTTGACCTGGTTTGCCTCTTGAGCTGTGAGGCTGTGACACGTGTACCTCTCAACATCTAACAACTGGGATGCACCTAATGGATGCTCACTCACCTTCTTCCAGTGGCCTGCCTTCTGCGCTCCACTGGCCTCAACGACCTGCAGGGGTGACTGCTGGGTCGCCTCTTGAGCTGTGTATGTGGGATATGTGTACCTCCCAAAGCTCTCTAACGTGGGATGCATTTCACTAGACTCACCTTCTTCCAGGGGCCTGCTGGGTCGCCTCTTGAGCTGTGTATGTGGGATATGTGTACCTCCCAAAGCTCTCTAACGTGGGATGCATTTCACTAGACTCACCTTCTTCCAGGGGCCTGCTGGGTCGCCTCTTGAGCTGTGTATGTGGGATATGTGTACCTCCCAAAGCTCTCTAACGTGGGATGCATTTCACTAGACTCACCTTCTTCCAGGGGCCTGCTGGGTCGCCTCTTGAGCTCTGTATGTGGGATATGTGTACCTCCCAAAGCTCTCTAACGTGGGATGCATTTCACTAGACTCACCTTCTTCCAGGGGCCTGCTGGGTCGCCTCTTGAGCTGTGTATGTGGGATATGTGTACCTCCCAAAGCTCTCTAACGTGGGATGCATTTCACTAGACTCACCTTCTTCCAGGGGCCTGCTGGGTCGCCTCTTGAGCTGTGTATGTGGGATATGTGTACCTCCCAAAGCTCTCTAACGTGGGATGCATTTCACTAGACTCACCTTCTTCCAGGGGCCTGCTGGGTCGCCTCTTGAGCTGTGTATGTGGGATATGTGTACCTCCCAAAGCTCTCTAACGTGGGATGCATTTCACTAGACTCACCTTCTTCCAGGGGCCTGCTGGGTCGCCTCTTGAGCTGTGTATGTGGGATATGTGTACCTCCCAAAGCTCTCTAACGTGGGATGCATTTCACTAGACTCACCTTCTTCCAGGGGCCTGCTGGGTCGCCTCTTGAGCTGTGTATGTGGGATATGTGTACCTCCCAAAGCTCTCTAACGTGGGATGCATTTCACTAGACTCACCTTCTTCCAGGGGCCTGCTGGGTCGCCTCTTGAGCTGTGTATGTGGGATATGTGTACCTCCCAAAGCTCTCTAACGTGGGATGCATTTCACTAGACTCACCTTCTTCCAGGGGCCTGCTGGGTCGCCTCTTGAGCTGTGTATGTGGGATATGTGTACCTCCCAAAGCTCTCTAACGTGGGATGCATTTCACTAGACTCACCTTCTTCCAGGGGCCTGCTGGGTCGCCTCTTGAGCTGTGTATGTGGGATATGTGTACCTCCCAAAGCTCTCTAACGTGGGATGCATTTCACTAGACTCACCTTCTTCCAGGGGCCTGCTGGGTCGCCTCTTGAGCTGTGTATGTGGGATATGTGTACCTCCCAAAGCTCTCTAACGTGGGATGCATTTCACTAGACTCACCTTCTTCCAGGGGCCTGCTGGGTCGCCTCTTGAGCTGTGTATGTGGGATATGTGTACCTCCCAAAGCTCTCTAACGTGGGACGCATTTCACTAGACTCACCTTCTTCCAGGGGCCTGCTGGGTCGCCTCTTGAGCTGTGTATGTGGGATATGTGTACCTCCCAAAGCTCTCTAACGTGGGATGCATTTCACTAGACTCACCTTCTTCCAGGGGCCTGCTGGGTCGCCTCTTGAGCTGTGTATGTGGGATATGTGTACCTCCCAAAGCTCTCTAACGTGGGATGCATTTCACTAGACTCACCTTCTTCCAGGGGCCTGCTGGGTCGCCTCTTGAGCTGTGTATGTGGGATATGTGTACCTCCCAAAGCTCTCTAACGTGGGATGCATTTCACTAGACTCACCTTCTTCCAGGGGCCTGCTGGGTCGCCTCTTGAGCTGTGTATGTGGGATATGTGTACCTCCCAAAGCTCTCTAACGTGGGATGCATTTCACTAGACTCACCTTCTTCCAGGGGCCTGCTGGGTCGCCTCTTGAGCTGTGTATGTGGGATATGTGTACCTCCCAAAGCTCTCTAACGTGGGATGCATTTCACTAGACTCACCTTCTTCCAGGGGCCTGCTGGGTCGCCTCTTGAGCTGTGTATGTGGGATATGTGTACCTCCCAAAGCTCTCTAACGTGGGATGCATTTCACTAGACTCACCTTCTTCCAGGGGCCTGCTGGGTCGCCTCTTGAGCTGTGTATGTGGGATATGTGTACCTCCCAAAGCTCTCTAACGTGGGATGCATTTCACTAGACTCACCTTCTTCCAGGGGCCTGCTGGGTCGCCTCTTGAGCTGTGTATGTGGGATATGTGTACCTCCCAAAGCTCTCTAACGTGGGACGCATTTCACTAGACTCACCTTCTTCCAGGGGCCTGCTGGGTCGCCTCTTGAGCTGTGTATGTGGGATATGTGTACCTCCCAAAGCTCTCTAACGTGGGATGCATTTCACTAGACTCACCTTCTTCCAGGGGCCTGCTGGGTCGCCTCTTGAGCTGTGTATGTGGGATATGTGTACCTCCCAAAGCTCTCTAACGTGGGATGCATTTCACTAGACTCACCTTCTTCCAGGGGCCTGCTGGGTCGCCTCTTGAGCTGTGTATGTGGGATATGTGTACCTCCCAAAGCTCTCTAACGTGGGATGCATTTCACTAGACTCACCTTCTTCCAGGGGCCTGCTGGGTCGCCTCTTGAGCTGTGTATGTGGGATATGTGTACCTCCCAAAGCTCTCTAACGTGGGATGCATTTCACTAGACTCACCTTCTTCCAGGGGCCTGCTGGGTCGCCTCTTGAGCTGTGTATGTGGGATATGTGTACCTCCCAAAGCTCTCTAACGTGGGATGCATTTCACTAGACTCACCTTCTTCCAGGGGCCTGCTGGGTCGCCTCTTGAGCTGTGTATGTGGGATATGTGTACCTCCCAAAGCTCTCTAACGTGGGATGCATTTCACTAGACTCACCTTCTTCCAGGGGCCTGCTGGGTCGCCTCTTGAGCTGTGTATGTGGGATATGTGTACCTCCCAAAGCTCTCTAACGTGGGATGCATTTCACTAGACTCACCTTCTTCCAGGGGCCTGCTGGGTCGCCTCTTGAGCTGTGTATGTGGGATATGTGTACCTCCCAAAGCTCTCTAACGTGGGATGCATTTCACTAGACTCACCTTCTTCCAGGGGCCTGCTGGGTCGCCTCTTGAGCTGTGTATGTGGGATATGTGTACCTCCCAAAGCTCTCTAACGTGGGACGCATTTCACTAGACTCACCTTCTTCCAGGGGCCTGCTGGGTCGCCTCTTGAGCTGTGTATGTGGGATATGTGTACCTCCCAAAGCTCTCTAACGTGGGATGCATTTCACTAGACTCACCTTCTTCCAGGGGCCTGCTGGGTCGCCTCTTGAGCTGTGTATGTGGGATATGTGTACCTCCCAAAGCTCTCTAACGTGGGATGCATTTCACTAGACTCACCTTCTTCCAGGGGCCTGCTGGGTCGCCTCTTGAGCTGTGTATGTGGGATATGTGTACCTCCCAAAGCTCTCTAACGTGGGATGCATTTCACTAGACTCACCTTCTTCCAGGGGCCTGCTGGGTCGCCTCTTGAGCTGTGTATGTGGGATATGTGTACCTCCCAAAGCTCTCTAACGTGGGATGCATTTCACTAGACTCACCTTCTTCCAGGGGCCTGCTGGGTCGCCTCTTGAGCTGTGTATGTGGGATATGTGTACCTCCCAAAGCTCTCTAACGTGGGATGCATTTCACTAGACTCACCTTCTTCCAGGGGCCTGCTGGGTCGCCTCTTGAGCTGTGTATGTGGGATATGTGTACCTCCCAAAGCTCTCTAACGTGGGATGCATTTCACTAGACTCACCTTCTTCCAGGGGCCTGCTGGGTCGCCTCTTGAGCTGTGTATGTGGGATATGTGTACCTCCCAAAGCTCTCTAACGTGGGATGCATTTCACTAGACTCACCTTCTTCCAGGGGCCTGCTGGGTCGCCTCTTGAGCTGTGTATGTGGGATATGTGTACCTCCCAAAGCTCTCTAACGTGGGATGCATTTCACTAGACTCACCTTCTTCCAGGGGCCTGCTGGGTCGCCTCTTGAGCTGTGTATGTGGGATATGTGTACCTCCCAAAGCTCTCTAACGTGGGACGCATTTCACTAGACTCACCTTCTTCCAGGGGCCTGCTGGGTCGCCTCTTGAGCTGTGTATGTGGGATATGTGTACCTCCCAAAGCTCTCTAACGTGGGACGCATTTCACTAGACTCACCTTCTTCCAGGGGCCTGCTGGGTCGCCTCTTGAGCTGTGTATGTGGGATATGTGTACCTCCCAAAGCTCTCTAACGTGGGATGCATTTCACTAGACTCACCTTCTTCCAGGGGCCTGCTGGGTCGCCTCTTGAGCTGTGTATGTGGGATATGTGTACCTCCCAAAGCTCTCTAACGTGGGATGCATTTCACTAGACTCACCTTCTTCCAGGGGCCTGCTGGGTCGCCTCTTGAGCTGTGTATGTGGGATATGTGTACCTCCCAAAGCTCTCTAACGTGGGATGCATTTCACTAGACTCACCTTCTTCCAGGGGCCTGCTGGGTCGCCTCTTGAGCTGTGTATGTGGGATATGTGTACCTCCCAAAGCTCTCTAACGTGGGATGCATTTCACTAGACTCACCTTCTTCCAGGGGCCTGCTGGGTCGCCTCTTGAGCTGTGTATGTGGGATATGTGTACCTCCCAAAGCTCTCTAACGTGGGATGCATTTCACTAGACTCACCTTCTTCCAGGGGCCTGCTGGGTCGCCTCTTGAGCTGTGTATGTGGGATATGTGTACCTCCCAAAGCTCTCTAACGTGGGATGCATTTCACTAGACTCACCTTCTTCCAGGGGCCTGCTGGGTCGCCTCTTGAGCTGTGTATGTGGGATATGTGTACCTCCCAAAGCTCTCTAACGTGGGATGCATTTCACTAGACTCACCTTCTTCCAGGGGCCTGCTGGGTCGCCTCTTGAGCTGTGTATGTGGGATATGTGTACCTCCCAAAGCTCTCTAACGTGGGATGCATTTCACTAGACTCACCTTCTTCCAGGGGCCTGCTGGGTCGCCTCTTGAGCTGTGTATGTGGGATATGTGTACCTCCCAAAGCTCTCTAACGTGGGATGCATTTCACTAGACTCACCTTCTTCCAGGGGCCTGCTGGGTCGCCTCTTGAGCTGTGTATGTGGGATATGTGTACCTCCCAAAGCTCTCTAACGTGGGACGCATTTCACTAGACTCACCTTCTTCCAGGGGCCTGCTGGGTCGCCTCTTGAGCTGTGTATGTGGGATATGTGTACCTCCCAAAGCTCTCTAACGTGGGATGCATTTCACTAGACTCACCTTCTTCCAGGGGCCTGCTGGGTCGCCTCTTGAGCTGTGTATGTGGGATATGTGTACCTCCCAAAGCTCTCTAACGTGGGATGCATTTCACTAGACTCACCTTCTTCCAGGGGCCTGCTGGGTCGCCTCTTGAGCTGTGTATGTGGGATATGTGTACCTCCCAAAGCTCTCTAACGTGGGATGCATTTCACTAGACTCACCTTCTTCCAGGGGCCTGCTGGGTCGCCTCTTGAGCTGTGTATGTGGGATATGTGTACCTCCCAAAGCTCTCTAACGTGGGATGCATTTCACTAGACTCACCTTCTTCCAGGGGCCTGCTGGGTCGCCTCTTGAGCTGTGTATGTGGGATATGTGTACCTCCCAAAGCTCTCTAACGTGGGATGCATTTCACTAGACTCACCTTCTTCCAGGGGCCTGCTGGGTCGCCTCTTGAGCTGTGTATGTGGGATATGTGTACCTCCCAAAGCTCTCTAACGTGGGATGCATTTCACTAGACTCACCTTCTTCCAGGGGCCTGCTGGGTCGCCTCTTGAGCTGTGTATGTGGGATATGTGTACCTCCCAAAGCTCTCTAACGTGGGATGCATTTCACTAGACTCACCTTCTTCCAGGGGCCTGCTGGGTCGCCTCTTGAGCTGTGTATGTGGGATATGTGTACCTCCCAAAGCTCTCTAACGTGGGATGCATTTCACTAGACTCACCTTCTTCCAGGGGCCTGCTGGGTCGCCTCTTGAGCTGTGTATGTGGGATATGTGTACCTCCCAAAGCTCTCTAACGTGGGATGCATTTCACTAGACTCACCTTCTTCCAGGGGCCTGCTGGGTCGCCTCTTGAGCTGTGTATGTGGGATATGTGTACCTCCCAAAGCTCTCTAACGTGGGATGCATTTCACTAGACTCACCTTCTTCCAGGGGCCTGCTGGGTCGCCTCTTGAGCTGTGTATGTGGGATATGTGTACCTCCCAAAGCTCTCTAACGTGGGATGCATTTCACTAGACTCACCTTCTTCCAGGGGCCTGCTGGGTCGCCTCTTGAGCTGTGTATGTGGGATATGTGTACCTCCCAAAGCTCTCTAACGTGGGATGCATTTCACTAGACTCACCTTCTTCCAGGGGCCTGCTGGGTCGCCTCTTGAGCTGTGTATGTGGGATATGTGTACCTCCCAAAGCTCTCTAACGTGGGATGCATTTCACTAGACTCACCTTCTTCCAGGGGCCTGCTGGGTCGCCTCTTGAGCTGTGTATGTGGGATATGTGTACCTCCCAAAGCTCTCTAACGTGGGACGCATTTCACTAGACTCACCTTCTTCCAGGGGCCTGCTGGGTCGCCTCTTGAGCTGTGTATGTGGGATATGTGTACCTCCCAAAGCTCTCTAACGTGGGACGCATTTCACTAGACTCACCTTCTTCCAGGGGCCTGCTGGGTCGCCTCTTGAGCTGTGTATGTGGGATATGTGTACCTCCCAAAGCTCTCTAACGTGCGATGCATTTCACTAGACTCACCTTCTTCCAGGGGCCTGCCTTCTGCGCTCCACTGGCCTCAACGACCTGCAGGGGTGAGGACGCAGAGTGGAAAACGGGAAGAGGGGGAGAGACGAAAAGAGAAAGAGGGTAGGAGTGAATGAGGGGAAGAGATAAAAGAGGTTAAGAGAGAACAAGGGGAAGAGAGAAAGAGGGGAAGAGAGAATTAGGGGAAGAGAAAAAGGATGTGTGGACAATGAAATAGGCATGGCGTGGTGGATTGCTGAATTGCAGTGAAAATTGGAGAGGATTACATAGAAATGAAAAAAAAGGGGGGGGGAAGGGGGGAGGCGGGGGAGTGTGAAGATATCATGCCATGCCATGCATGCAAGTGCTTAGTTCAGCATGTCTCTCACTGTGCACCTCACTCACCTCATTAAACTTCTCAAAGTTCTGTGTGTCAACTCGTTGTTGAACTTGGGCAGGGAAGCTCTCAGTCAACTCACAACACATTCTTCTTGAATTCAGCATGTCTCAACGCACACCTTAGTCTTCAGCATGTCTCAACGCACACTTTATTATTCAGCATGTCTCAACGCACACCTTATATTTTGAGCATGTATCTCACTGTGCGTCCCACTCACCTCATCAAACTTCTCAAAGTTCTGTGTGTCAAGCTCGTCGTTAACTTCCGGAATGAAAGCTTTGAGTCGACAACAAACACACCCGTTGATTCGACTCAAACCGTTCTGCTGCTCTCACCTCGTCAAACTTTACAAAGTTCTGTGTGTCTCACCTCATCAAACTTCTCAAAGTTCTGTGTGTCGAGCTCGTCGTTGACCTCGGGAATGAAAGCCGCCTCCATCTTGTACAGGCGGTCCCAGGGAAGGCCGCGGAACCACGGGTGGTTCTGAAAGTGGGGCGGGTGGAGGGGAAGGGGGTTAAGCCAGGGGGATGTAGAGGAAAGGGATACAAGGCAAGTAAGGGACGTAAACATGCGGAAGAAGAAAGAATGAAAGCCGCCTCCATCTTGTACAGGCGGTCCCAGGGAAGGCCGCGGAACCACGGGTGGTTCTGAGAATGGGGTGGGAGAAGAGGGAGGGGCGGGGGGTGTATAGGAAAGGGATACAAGGCGGGTACGGGAGGTAAGCATGTGGAAGAAGATGGTATGAACGCAGCCTCCAGCTTGTACAGGAGGTCCCAGGGGAGGCCGCGGAACCACAGATGGTTCTGAAGGAAGGGTTGGTGATGAAGGAGGGTGGTTAGTTTCGGAGGGAGAAAGAGAGGATGAAGGAAGAAAGCTGAATGCAGCCTCCATCTTGTACAGGAGGTCCCAGGGAAGGCTGCGGAACCATGGGTGGTTCTGAGAGTGGGGTGGGAGAACAGAGGAGGTCACAGGAAAGGGATAATGAGGAGGAAGAGCGGAGCATGAGAGAGCTGGGTGGGTTTGGTGGTATGAGAAGGGATCATGAGGACAGGTTGATAAAATTATCTCAGTAGATTGGTGCAGGATGGTGGTGTTTGGGAGAGAAAGAGAGGATGCAGGAGCTGGAGGGTATGGTGGAGGGCTGGGGCATAGGAGAGCACACAGGCACTCCACACTTTGTCCCTCACTCATCTTGATGTCGCTGACGCTCCTGGTGCCCAGCCGGTGCTCCCCGTCGCACAGCAAGTGGCAGATGAGGTCCCTGGCCTCTCAGGATGCAATGCAGCACGCATCACACCGTACGTTATACACCACACCACACACACACACACACACACACACACACACACACACACACACACTCCACACACTTCTCGCTCTGCTCACCTTGATGTCGCCGACGCTCCTGGTGCCCAGGCGGTGCTCCACATCGCACAGCAGGCGGCAGATGAGGTCCCTGGCCTCCCGGGAGATGATCACCTCCTCGGGAAACTTGAGATGCGTGCGCCAGTTGACGATCTGAGATGACGGGGGAAATGTGGGTGGGGATTGGTGATGGAGGGGTTAAACGGGGATTAGAAGGTACAGTCCAGTTCCCTGACCTCCCAACACAGTCACACAGCAGGCGGCAGATGAGGTCCCTGGCCACGCTCGCGAGATGATCACCTCCTCGGGGAACTTGAGGTGCGTGCGCAAGTTGACGATCTGGGAGGGGTTGGGGAAGTGGGGCGCGGGGAAGGGGAGGTGGGGAAGGGTTAGGCGGCAGATGAGGTCCCTCGCCTCCCGGGAAATGATCACCTCCTCTGGGAACTTGAGATGCGTACGCCAGTTCACGATCTGGAAGAGGGCGGGGGAGGGTGGGGAGGAGGGGGGAGGTAAGGGTGGTTTGGGGGATGAATGAGGTCCCTAGCCTCCCCACACAGCTTGCCACAGCAGGCGGCAGATAAGATCCCAGGCCTTCCGAGAAATGATAACATCCTCGGGAAACTTGAGATGTGTACGCCAGTTGACGATCTGGAAGAGAGAGGGGGAGGGCGGGGGGGGGGGGGAGGTAAAGGTGGTTGGGGGAATGGATGAGGTCCCTAGCCTCCCAACACAGCTTGCCACAGCAGGCGGCAGATAAGATCCCAGGCCTCCCGGGAGATGATCACCTCCTCGGGGAATTTGAGGTGCGTGCGCCAGTTGACGATCTGGTGAAGAACGGGTGGGGAAGGAGGGCATGGGAAGGATAGAGTGGGGGGGAATTTAGGCGCTCAGCCTCTCGGGAGATGATCACCTCCGTGGGGAGCTTAAGGCGTGTGCGCTAGTTTACAATCTGAGAGTTTTCTAAGGAGAGAGAGGGACGATAGGAGGATATCAAGGGGTTTAGAGGGTTTGGCAGGAGATGATCATGTGCGACGCATGCCCTGCACTGCACTGCACCTGCTCTGCAATGCACTGTACCGCACTGTACCACGCTGCACTGCACCTTAGGATAGGAGTGAGCAGTATTCCACACCACATCACCTTTACAAGAAGAAATGATGCAGCTTGTGAGTTGCTGTCATGTGTTCACTCCAATGACACGTGCTATCATACCTTGCGACAGGTTGTCATGGGGTCGTCAGAATAGAAAGTTTTGAGTCGACTCAAAACTCTATGCAGTTGTGAGTTCATGTCATGTGTTCAATTCACTCCAATGACACGTGTTATCATACCTTGCGACAGGTTGTCATGGGGTCGTCAGAATAGAAAGTTTTGAGTCGACTCAAAACTCTATGCAGTTGTGAGTTCATGTCATGTGTTCAATTCACTCCAATGACACGTGTTATCATACCTTGCGACAGGTTGTCATGGGATCGTCAGAATAGAAAGTTTTGAGTCGACTCAAAACTCTATGCAGTTGTGAGTTCATGTCATGTGTTCAATTCACTCCAATGACACGTGTTATCATACCTTGCGACAGGTTGTCATGGGATCGTCAGAATAGAAAGTTTTGAGTCGACTCAAAACTCTATGCAGTTGTGAGTTCATGTCATGTGTTCAATTCACTCCAATGACACGTGTTATCATACCTTGCGACAGGTTGTCATGGGATCGTCAGAATAGAAAGTTTTGAGTCGACTCAAAACTCTAAGCAGTTGTGAGTTCATGTCATGTGTTCAATTCACTCCAATGACACGTGTTATCATACCTTGCGACAGGTTGTCATGGGATCGTCAGAATAGAAGGGCGGGTAGCCGATGAGCATCTCGTACATAATGGCTCCCATGCTCCACCTGGCGGGTGGCGGGAAGAGAAAACGATGCAGGGAAACAAAGTAAAACTGAGTGGCTGGGTTCGTGGAAGACTCATGCCTCCCATACGCGCCCGCAGCGCACACGCACAAATGCACACACACACATATGCACACACACACACACATGCGCCCGCACACACACACACACACCCACACTCCCCCTCCTCTTCCCCCCTCCCCTTCCCCCCTCCTCCCCCTCCTCTACACACAGACACAAACATTCACTCACCAATCACACTCCAGGCTGTATCCCTTCTTAAGCAGCACTTCAGGTGCGATGTAGTCAGGGGTACCCACCGTGGAGTAGGCCTGAGGGACAGGAGGAATACCAGGAGAGGGAGGACAAAGGGAGAAAAAGGAAGGAACTGGTTGAATGGGGAACTATGTACCCCGGTGGAGCAAGGGGAGAGCGGGAGAGGAAAAAGAATTGGGTTGGAGAGGCAAGTGTATAGCGAACCCCGGATCAGCCTGTCCCCCAACCTCAACCCCCACCCACCAGCGTGCAACGATTCGTCTGCCAGTTCTGCAGCTGCTCCGCCTGGCTGCGCCCTGACCCCGGGTGGTTGCCGTCCAGAGACACATTGGAGAGCATGGCAGCCGCCTCCTCGACTACTCGCCCTTGAGATCACACCTACCACCTCCCTTCCCTGCCCCTCCTGATCCCGCTTTCCCTTCTAGACCACCTGCCCCCTTAACTCCAGCCCCACCCCCACACCCCACATCCACCGCCACGCCACACCCATGCCTCCAACCCCTACCACCCACCCACCCCAGCTCACCAGAGTGCGGCGGTTCTTCTGCCAGTTCTGCAGCTGCTCCGCCTGACTGCGCCCAGATCCCGGGTGGTTTCTTCGAGGGACGCGTTGGAGAGCATGGCAGCCGCATCCTCCCTTCTGCTCCCCTCTTCCCTTACCCAGACCGACTCTCCCACATTCCCACACCACTCACCAGCGTACGACGATTCTTCTGCCAGTTCTGCAGCTGCTCCGCCTGGCTCCTGCCCGACCCCGGGTGGTTGCCCTCCAGAGACGCGTTGGAGAGCATGGCAGCGGCCTCCTCGACATCAACGGCGGGGAAGGTGCTGGTGTCGAGGGGCTTGCACAGCCCGAAGTCAGACAGCTTCATGTGCCCGTGGCGGTCCAGCAGCAGATTGTCCGGCTTGATGTCCCTGGAGGGGAGGGAGTGGGGGTGGGGGGAAGCAGGGGGAAAGGGGAAGGGGGAAGGGGGGAAGGGGGAACGGGGGGAGGGGGAGGGGATGTAATTAGACAAAAGGGGGAGCGTGGACAGCATGGTAGCGGCCTCCTCGACGTCGACGGCAGGGAAGGTGCTGGTGTCGAGGGGATTGCACAGCCCAAAGTCAGACAGCTTCATGTGCCCGTGGCGGTCCAGCAGCAGATTGTCCGGCTCGATGTCCCTGGGGAGAGGGGGGGGAGGGGGTGGGGGGAAGAGGACGGGAAGGAGGGGTTGGGAAATGGTAATGGGGGGAACGGGGATACAGAGATGAGAAAGTGAACCACCTACCTGTGAAACCACCTACCTGTGAAACCACCTACCTGTGAAACCACCTACCTGTGCGCCACTTCTCCACCCACCTGTGCATGTAGTTGTGCTTGTGGATGCTCTCAATGGCCAGCACTGCCTCGCCCACGTAGAGCCGACTCAAAGCCCACCAGTGCACCTCTCTACAAACAGCCCACCTGTACGGCTGTATTCCATCCATGCTAACACCCACCCACCCACCTATGCACGTAGTTGTGCTTGTGAATGCTCTCAATGGCCAGCACCGTCTCGCCCACGTAGAAACCAACAGTCCCATCGTTACCCCACCACACTCACTGGTACCAACGTGGCTCATGCGTCCACTCAACTGCAATCCAGGCCCGCCCACCTGTGTGCCATCTTCTATCACCCACCTGTGCTCGTGGATTCCTTTTCACCCACCCACCTGTGCACGTAGTTGTGCTTGTGGATGCTCTCAATGGCCAGCACCGTCTCGCCCACGTAGAACCTCGCCTCGTCCTCAGTGAGCGTGTCCTTGCGCATGAGCAGCGTCATCATGTCGCCGCCCGGCAGGTACTCCATCACCAGGTACAGAAACTCCTCGTCCTGGAACCAACCAGCCAGCCAGCCAGCCAGCCAGCCAGCCAGCCAGCCAGCCAGCCCTGGTGGTAACCACATCCCTCCTTCTGACCCCACTCAAACCCCACCCACCTGCGCCCTACCTCCTCTGTCCCCTCTGTGCCGTCTCTCCCACCCACCCACCTGTGCTCGTCCCTGCTGCCCACCTATTCGACTGTAGCCTGTACCTCCCCTCCCTCCCACCCGCCCACCTGTGCACGTAGTTGTGCTTGTGGATGCTCTCAATCGCCAGCACCGTCTCGCCGACATAAAACCGCGCCTCGTCCTCAGTGAGCGTGTCCTTGCGCATGAGCAGCGTCATCATGTCGCCGCCCGGCAGGTACTCCATCACCAGGTACAGAAACTCCTCGTCCTGGAACGAGCAGTACAGCTGCACGATGCACTTGCTCTCCACTTCCGCCAGGAGGTTTCTCTCTGCCTTCACGTGCTCCACCTGTTGATGGGGTAGAATGGGGGGGGAGCAGGGGGGGAAGAAATAAGAGGTTGGTTGCAGTTAGACAGAAACTATTCGTCCTGGAACGAGCAGTACAGCTACACGATGCACTTGCCTCCACCTCTGTCAGCAGATTGTGCTGGAGGGTTATGAAAGGGGTTTTGAAGAGGGTCGGAAAGGGGCTTATAAGAAGGTTCGAAAAGAGTAGGGAGGGCAAGGGAGGGTGAAAAAGAGGGATGCACATGGAAGAATGATGAGCATCACCCTGAAAGGAGCAGTAGAACTGCACAATGCACCCCATTTCCGCCTCCCCCCCCCAACCCCCACAGACACATACGCGCACGCACACATACAGGAAATCACCTACGCGCGCACACACACACACACACATATCTGGCCGCGCCGAAGCATCTCCGCCTTCTTGAGCTTCTTCATTACGCACACGCTGCCCGTCTTCTTCTCCCAAAAAACACACATGCATGCATGCACGCACGCACACACACGCAGACACATGCATGCACGCACGCACACACACGCAGACACATGCATGCATGCACGCACACACACGCAGACACATGCATGCACGCACACATACACGCACATCCACCCCTCCCTCTCCATCCCCCACCCACACACACCTGGCCGCGCCAAAGCATCGCTGCCTTCTTGAGCTTCTTCATGGCGTATACTCTGCCCGTCTCTGTCTCCCGACTCATGCACGCATGCAGAGACAGACACGCACACGCACACACACATCCACCCCTTCCCCCCACCTTCCCCCTCACACACATACCTGGCCGCGCCGAAGCATCTCTGCCTTCTTGAGCTTCTTCATGGCGTACACGCTGCCCGTCTTCTTCTCCCAACTCATGCATGCACATACACACGCACACACACATCCACCGCTTCCCCCCACCTTCCCTCTCACACACACCTGGCCGCGCCGAAGCATCTCTGCCTTCTTGAGCTTCTTCATGGCGTACACACTGCCCGTCTTCTTCTCCCGACAGATGCGCACCTGCAAGTGAGTGGGCGGCAGCGCAATGAGTGGGCGGCACATCCGTAAGTGGGCGGCACATCCGTAAATGGGCGGCGGAGCAATTTGTGGGAGGCATGATGATGGCACGGGGACAGCACAGGGGCGGCATGGGAATAGATCAGGGAAATTGGGCTAGTAAACGAAACCACACTCCCCTCTCCCTCCCACTACCTTTACCCATCAACGCCTTTTCACCACGTACATCCCCAAAGGCCCCTCGCCCAATTATAGTAAGAATCTTTAAGTCGTTGACACTCATCTTGTGACCCGTCCCTCCGTTCTCTCCCTTCCCCCACCTTGTCCTCATCAACTCCTCCGCCTCATCCCCCGTACCTCCCCGAAGGCCCCTCGCCCAATAATAGTAAGCAGTTCGAAGTCGTCGACGCTCATCTTGTGGCGCTGCAGGCGGCGGAACTCCGTCTCGCGCCGCTCGAGCTCCTGCATGATGCGCTGCTGCTCCTCCTCCGGCACGTCCTCCTCCTCCAGCTTCCGCTCCAGCTCGTTCCGCCTGATACACGCAAAAGGCAGGTGACAAATTACGAGGGGAAGCAGGGGGGGGGGGGGGGGGGGGGTGGAGGGGAAGAGGGGGGGTGAGGGAAATGGCGGATGGCGTCTGTCCGTCCGTCTCACGAGGCGTAAGGCAAGGGAGGGAATGGGTTAAGGGACGTGATGCATGGGGGACAGCATGTCTCCGTCTCGCGCCTCTCGAGCTCCTGCATGATGCGCTGCTGCTCCTCCTCCGGCACGTCCTCCTCCTCCAGCTTCCGCTCCAACTCGTTCCGCCTGCCACGCGCATAAGGCAGGGCAGGTGACCAATTTGGAGAGCGGAAGAGGCGGGGAGCGGGTGAAGGAGATGGCGGTTGGCGTCAGTGGGGTAAGGGAAGTTATACACGCAGGACGGCATCTTCCCGTCTTGACCTCTCCGGATCCTGCATGATGCGCTGCTCTGCTACGCCGTTAGGCCTTCTGCCGGATGAACGACACTCCTTCCCTTCCGCTAGTCACTCCTCTTCCAGCTTCCGCGCCAGTTCATCACACCGACTGAAGCGAAACCATGGTGTAACAGAAGGACTGAGTCCTATCGAGGACACGTGATACGCGGCGAGAGTGGCGGCGGAGCCAAACGCGCGATCATTCAATCCGTCCCCTGCCGATTCTTTAAAAACCCTATCGCATCTAACATAGATTTGCCAGCTTGCGAAACATAGCCGACCGACATTGGTGGTAGTCGCAAGTTGCTGCTGGTTCCATAGCAGCGTGATCGATTTTGGGATCTGCGTGCAGACTAGTAGTCAAACTCTTACTACCACACGGACTGGTTACGTTGAAGTGTAAGTTGAAGCAACTGCTCAGTCGCATCCCCGACTCGGTCGCTCACTATATCCGCGAATCGTTGTCGCGAAAAACGTGTAACAATGACACGAAAAAACGTGAACGAAGCAATGCCGCGAGAATGTTGACGCATTGACATGAAAACGATAGATCAACGAGAAAGGCGAGATGCGCTCGTTGCGCCTTATTTTGCGCATTCTCAAAATACGTCTTGAAGCATTCTCGTTCTTCGCCTGAAAATGATAGTTACGTTACTTGAAAAAGGCATTGCGGAAACAAATTAATCGAACCGGAACTGTACCTATCCTTGCGTTCTTGAATTGTCTTCATCTGGTTCCGGTAATGCTGCTCGATGTAGTTCTTCGCAGCAGCCACTTTCTGCTTAGTAATGTCCGACGCAGGATCCATTTCCTGCTCCGGAGGGTCCACTCCCTCCTCGTCCTCCCGGATCCGTCCAGGTCCAGGAGGCTTCGGCGCTCGCATGTTGAACCATCGACGGTTGTCCGCCATGGCTACAGTGCAGACCTAGCTGCAGAAGGAGCTGCAAAACCTTCTAATAAGAACTACCCCCACGCAGTGATACTTATTTTCTGAGATTGGTACCAGTCGAATGGGAGTAGAAGGACAAGCAGGAAAACTACGGACTTGTCCAGTTCTGACAACCAACCAACCAGCAGCAGTGACTTCACATGAGTTAGCAGGTAAAGAGTTATGACTTGGTGCGCAATTCGCGGATGCCCACCTTGAGATCTCCGTGCTCAAATTTCGTTTTATTATAACGGTTCCGTGCGATTCTGTGCATTCTCTAACGGGAGGTTCTATCACGGCTTATAACCGCTACTCATCTATCGGAACCGTACATCAGTTCGTTCTTTCTCAACTGTCAGAGGAGTTAAGGTTCGGTTTGGTAGAACCCTCGCGGACGTTAGGGCGGAGATGCTGGCGCGCGGAGCTCCGCGCTTCTGCCTAGACGGAAAGTGGACGGAACAGTCGAATGGGAAGACTGAGACAAGTCGGAGAAAGACGGTAAAAGTACGACAAGCAGCATTTGCTTCACCAAAGGCTTCGACGATTCGCCAAGGGACTTGACAGCTGGACTAGGTCACAAACATTGCCGTTTTGCAGAACGTCGAAATATCGTCCTTACTCTTTTTGTCGGACTCGATGAAACTCTTTAAAATGAAGCTACACCAACTCATTTAGTTTCATAGGCTTCAACCTTGTTTCGTGAACTATTATTTTGCTGGGCAACTCCATACCAGCTCTATTCATCTGATGCATGCCATCATTTTTAAATGACACGACATAAAACTCAGATGGCGTTCACAGAAAGTTCCCCCAAGCGAATTAGCCCCAAGAGGCCCAAAAGTGGGTCCAGCGTGGCAGTTTTGCAACTGACCACACCCACTCCACGTGCCATGCGAAGGTGGATACACACCTAGACGAGTTTGAGCGAAATGTCAAACCCAATCAGGGGCATGTAACCCCGTAGACTTCAAGATCATTCATGACAGACTTTCATGAAGCAACCTCAAACACGTGCTTCACAAATATCTGTGCACTGTTGTTGAGCGCGGTTCGCTTTGGGGGAACTTCCTGTGAACGCCATCTCATACTATCGGTACCAAGTTCGCCCAGATAGAAGCTCAGGTCCGCTTCTAACTTGCCAGGGAAAAAATCATGTTGTGCTTGTAATGAAGTATTCTTTATAAGCGCATGGGCAAATTGAATTACCAAAATCAAAGTATATTTTATAGGCATCAAGCTGTAGCCCATGCTACAGCTTCGCAACCGTACTGATTTTAGGGTATTTCAGTAATGAACAAACGCGCAAACCCGCCAGCGCAGCAGTGTATGAGCATCCATGTGCCAAGTGCTGCCTGGCAGTCCAATGAGGCGTGGAAGCAGAGCAGCAGCAGCAACTAGAGAGACCCCTCGATAGAATCCCTTGCAACCGCAGGTTCCTCGTCAATGAAATTTTCCCCCAACCTGCAAAGGAGCCCGAGCCGCCTTCACGACAGGGGTCTCTGGTCACAGTCACTCTCCACCTTCATTCTTTCGTTTTTGCTTAGAAAACTACCGGTTTCCCACTTTCTCTGCCATGGCGGACATCCCAGGCAACACCTTCCTGTTCGGGCGACCACCACCGAGGTAGACGCAACCCAACGGCTGGATAGATGTCGCTGGAGTCATCAGATGGCTGGATGAAGCAGTGAAGCTCTTCATCCAGCCATACTTCGGGCCCCATGCGTGCTTAGAGTGTCTCATCCTTGACTCTTATCGTGGGTACCTGACCCTAGAGGTCAGAAAGAAGTACGCGGAGATGGGTGTGGTGCCAGGCGTGATATGGAGCGGTTGCACGTGAAAGGTGCAACTGCTTGACGCCGCCTTCAACAAGTCCTTCAAAGCAGTTGTGCGACAACAATTCCAGGATTGGCTTGACCGGGAGGGCGTCAAGTACCACATGGCAAAGGGTGAGAAAATCCCCTGATGCTTTACTCGTGTTGCTCCCAACCCTGACCCTCATCACATTCCATTTTGCTCACAAGGAACCTCAGTAAGGCCCCCTTCCCCCCTGAGGAGTCGCGGAAGTGGGATTCAAAGGCCCGGAAGGCCTTGCCGGCGTCCCTGATAAAAAAGACGTTTCTTACCTGCAGCATCGACATATGCCTTCAGCACAGGCGCAACGGCGAGGCTACATCCATCGATGTGACGGACGACGTGACTGCAGACGGCTTGTTCAGCACAACGCGACCGAGCCGGAGACCGACGGTGACGATGAGGTTGATGAAACCTGTGTCATGTATGAATAGAGTATTTTAAAAAATGGTTCATTCATCCCAATAGAGGTGCATGCACTGACAATAAGTTTGATAGAATTAACCCTGCGGTTATGAACAACACCTGCCTATAAGCGCACTAGTTCGGACATAAGCGTGTGCACCACATGAAAGGGTGCGCTTCTATTAGGGTGATCACGGTACTTGATGCAATTCTTAGTGTATGTTGAATCTCAAGACCTTCAATGAAGTATAGATTCAGATAGGGATCTAACAGAATGTATCGGAACACAACATACATCACAAGTGCGGTTTGGCAGATACACTGGAAATGATGGTCCTCAAACTCACTGTGCTGGTGGTGGAGGAGGTGGAGGTGGCGGCGGAGGAGGGGGTGGGGGTGGAGATGGAGGTGAGGGGGGTGGTGGAGATGGCTGTGAAGGAACAGGTGAAGGGGGAGGTGGAGGTGAGGGGGGTGGTGGAGATGGCTGTGAAGGAACAGGTGAAGGGGGAGGTGGAGGTGAGGGGGGTGGTGGAGATGGCTGTGAAGGAACAGGTGAAGGGGGAGGTGGAGGTGAGGGGGGTGGTGGAGATAATTGTGAAGGGACAGGTGAAGGGGGAGGAGGAGGAGGTGGAGGAGGAGGGCTAGGAAGGGCCGCTGGTGTCGGTGGTGGTGGCTTTGAGACAGAGGGTGGGGTTGTAGGGCGACAGCGAGGTGGTGGTGGTGATGGAGTGGCACAATGTTTTGGAGCAGGTGCAGGGACTGGAGCAGGGCCTGGTGCCGGCACAGGTGCAGGGCTGGGAGCAGGGACGGGGGCAGGGCTGAGTGCAGGTCCGGGAGCAGGCACGGGGGCAGGGCTGGGAGCAGGCACGGGGGTGGGGCTGGGAGCAGGCACGGGCGCAGGGCTGGGGGCAGGCACGGGCGCAGGGCTGGGGACAGGCACGGGCGCAGGGCTGGGGACAGGCACGGGCGCAGGGCTGGGGGCAGGCACGGGCGCAGGGCTGGGGGCAGGCACGGGGGCAGGGCTGGGTGCAGGCACGGGGGCAGGACTGGGAGCAGGCACGGGGGCAGGGCTGGGAGCAGGCACAGGGGCAGGAGTGGGTGCTGACTCTGGTGCCTGACTCACATTTCCAGCACATGAACCACTGGGTCCCTTGGGTCCCGTTTTGAACGCTATGCAGCGGCGCGCATCAGGATATGCCCTCTGGTTAGCATCTCCTGGATTGAGGTTCAGAACAGTGCCGTTCTCTGGAATAGCCGCAGATGTGAGCGCGAGGACTGCACAGATGTTCTCGAAGGCTGCGCGGGTGAAAGGGGCGTTGATGCCACGCATTCGCAGGGTTGGAGGGTTTCCGGTGATGTAAAACTGGTTGGAGGTGTAGGATTGGACGAACTGAGGAGAGATGCAGAAGAGTGTGTTGTCCCCGCTATTGGCAGATTCGAGCACGTTTCTGTACTTGTCTTCGATTGGAATTGCTGTCACTTGACCATCGGGGATGTCAGGAAGCCTGAGACATAGGGAATAATAGAAATAATGAGTTAGAGTAGACAGGACAGTGCAAAACACATTTCAGGTAACAGGCTAAGATGCTTACTGGAAAATGGGAACAAAATGTCTGTGTCCTTTGAAGTAGAAGTCGCAATCTGCTAGCGGAGTGGCTGGGCATGCTGAAACGGGATTCTCCTGCAGCCTCCTCGATGCGTGCATGTTGGTTCGCGTCCGCAGACTAATTCCCATCCTCAAAGCGCTCGAATGTGCCGGCCATTGAAGTGTTGACACCAGCCAAAACAGAAAAACAATTGGCAACAAACTTGTCGACATGATCACGCCTCTACTACCTCCACGCATACGATTCTGCGTACAAATCATATGCAGAAGAGGAAATCCTCTGAAAACACACAGTCGACGAAAGGAACAGACGAAACAGCAGCGCAGGACCACCTAAAACAGCAGGCGAAACAGGAACAGTCGACGCACAGGACCACCTAAAACAGCAGCGCACCAAGCAACCTACTTGCAGATGCAAAAACTGCAAGTAGTCCAAGCAAGAACTGTGCGGAGTTGGTGGTGTTGAAAATGAATGTGCTGTTGAAATTGAATGTGATTTCTTGGGAGGCAAGCCGAGTCGGCTTCATCTGGAGCCGCATTCATTTTTTCCAAGGCTGGCTGTTCTGGTTCGAGTCCTCGCTGGAGTTTTGCCACCTCAGCAGCTCTGGCTGGTCCCCAGACAGAAACCCATGAACCGCCACGAAAGCTGTGAGTTAGGTGAGTGGAGTTTCAAAACGAGACACGAGGTAACTGCCAGCTGTGTTGTTTCTATTGACAAGCTGGCTCCAGATGGGGTTTCGCGTGCGGGGAATTCTGTATCGCAATTTTTTCGCTTGAAAGTAACCATTTCGAGCACCTTCGGCAGGAAATAACGTTTAGCCGATTTTAGAGTCGTCGGTATACGACATAGTTCAGACATATTATATGGAGCTCATTTCTTTTCTGCGAATACGATCTCAAGGTTAAATCTAAACAGCAGCGAAGCTAGAGAATAATACGCAAGCAGTCACCCAAGAAGGATGTTAGTACGCCGAGCGCTCTTAGTTTCAGAAGTGTGTCTGCTTATTTCCAGATAGCGCCGTAAACGCCCTCCAACTCAACGGCTAGGATTGCCTGTTCATGGGCAGTGAAGGCGATCTGCGTTCCGACAGCAATCCCTCTTCTAGCAGTCACGTTCCGAACCCTAACGTAGAATCAATAGTTTCACCAATCACCACAGTAAGCGCAGTTGCTGCATCCACCACCACCATCACCGTCGCAGCTCGGCGCACCGGTTATCCTACCAGTAGCCGTGACGTGGCAGCCCCGGCTACGTTCGCCGGCGGTGCCGCCGAGCCATCATCGAAGCGCGCCAAGCTATCCTGTCCGTACCACGAGCACGGCTCTGCGGCGTCCGGCCGCGGTTCTGAATCGTGCGCGTTCTGCGCATCTGCCGCCGCGACTCCCGGGAAATCTTCTGAGGATCACCCCGCCGGAGCTGCTGCCATCTGTCACGCCACAATTGGTCGATTTGCAACCCTGTCCATGGGGATGGGGCCAGGGGACGGTGCTGCGGATTCTGCAGGAGGGAAGCAAGTAGGGAGGACTTATCAGCCGTCCGATCGCGATCGGCTCGGATCCAAGGGCCAGATTCGCACGGTGGAGTTTATCCGCCTTATAGAGCAATCGCTGCGTTCGCTAGGGTATGATTCCATAGCGGCGCAACTGGAAGTGGAATCGGGCGTAGCTCTGGAATCCAAGCCTGTAGCGCAGCTTCGGCCAGCAATTATGGCTGGCCAATGGGAGGAAAGTGTCGCAATTCTGTCGAACCTACAAGGTTTGGATTTATCTTTGCTTCGGCACGCCGAATTCCTCCTTTTGGAGCAGAAATTCCTCGAGCTTGTCGAAGCTGGGGAGGTTCGGGAAGCTCTGACGACCCTCCGAGGCAGGCTCGGGCCCACAGCTTCGGATCCGAAGCGGTTGCACCAATTGGCGGGCTGGCTCCTGTGCGCCGGACCTGAGGACCTCAAGGCTCGGTCCGGTTGGCCCGGGACAGGTTCGGAATCACGGGGTTCGGTTTTGAAAGCGGTACAGGCTTTGCTGCCGGCGTCAGTGATGGTTCCTGATCGGAGATTGGAACAGCTTGTAGAGAGTACGGTTGAGATGGGTCGAGAGCGGTGCCACTACCACAACGTGGCTGACGAGGCGCTGACACTGTTCACGGACCATTCGTGCGGGCGGGAAATGATTCCAACGGTTACCACTCAGGTACGGGGTGTAATCAACGTTACCACTAAGGTAGGGGTGTAATCAGTGTCGCCACTAAGGTGAGGGCTACCATTGAGGTGGGGATGTGATCAGTGTTACCACGGAGTAGGGAGTGTAATCTTCCAGTGTTACCAACCCAGGTGGAGGAGTGACGTGACCACATCGTCTCACCATTTTTCCTTTCTCAACCCGCTCACCGTCTGCTCACATTGTTGCTGTCTCAGGTGCTCCCCCTTCCACTCGGCAGATGTTGCAGGGTGTTTTTGAGATTTCTCAAAAACAGGTCTTCCAAGACGGCAGTCCACTTAATGCAACCCTCCTGAACCCTCCCTACCTCCCCCCCTCTCTCAGGTGCTGGAGCAGCACAACGACGAGTTATGGTGTGTGCAGTTCCTTTCAGCTCACCCTCTTTACCATCTCTCTGCACCTCTCTCTCACTTCCTCCATCTCTCTTCTGCTCGCGCGCCCCCTCTCCCTCTTCCCCTCGGCAGCTCTTGGAGCAGCGCTGCAGCACAACGATGAGGTGTGGTACGTGCAGTTCTCTCACGACGGCACGGCACTCCCCCCCCAACCCTTCTCTCTTCTTCTACTCACACAAATTCTTCCCCACCTCTTCCCACCAGGTACTGGAGCAGCACAGCGATGAGGTGTGGTGCGTGCAGTTCTCTCACGAGGGCACCAGGCTCGCCACTGCCTCCAAGGACCACACTGCTGTAGTCTGGCAGGTGAGGTTCGCCTCCCTACCACACTGAACCGCACTGAAACACACCCTGCCACATTGATCGCACAGTGGCTTTCAAGATTGATTTCTTCCATCTTCCATTGTGGCACCAGGCTTGCCACTGCCTCCAAGGACCACGCTGCTGTCGTCTGGCAGGTGAGAGTTGCCTCTCTACCGTTTCCCAGCGCACTGAATCTCACCACTGAGGCTCTTAAGATCGCCTCCCCCCATCTTCCATTGTGGCACCAGGCTTGCCACTGCCTCCAAGGACCACGCTGCTGTCGTCTGGCAGGTGAGAGTTGCCTCTCTACCGTTTCCCAGCGCACTGAATCTCACCACTGAGGCTCTTAAGATCGCCTCCCCCCATCTTCCATTGTGGCACCAGGCTTGCCACTGCCTCCAAGGACCACGCTGCTGTCGTCTGGCAGGTGAGAGTTGCCTCTCTACCGTTTCCCAGCGCACTGAATCTCACCACTGAGGCTCTTAAGATCGCCTCCCCCCATCTTCCATTGTGGCACCAGGCTTGCCACTGCCTCCAAGGACCACACTGCTGTCGTCTGGCAGGTGAGAGTTGCCTCTCTACCGTTTCCCAGCGCACTGAATCTCACCACTGAGGCTCTTAAGATCGCCTCCCCCCATCTTCCATTGTGGCACCAGGCTTGCCACTGCCTCCAAGGACCACGCTGCTGTCGTCTGGCAGGTGAGAGTTGCCTCTCTACCGTTTCCCAGCGCACTGAATCTCACCACTGAGGCTCTTAAGATCGCCTCCCCCCATCTTCCATTGTGGCACCAGGCTTGCCACTGCCTCCAAGGACCACGCTGCTGTCGTCTGGCAGGTGAGAGTTGCCTCTCTACCGTTTCCCAGCGCACTGAATCTCACCACTGAGGCTCTTAAGATCGCCTCCCCCCATCTTCCATTGTGGCACCAGGCTTGCCACTGCCTCCAAGGACCACGCTGCTGTCGTCTGGCAGGTGAGAGTTGCCTCTCTACCGTTTCCCAGCGCACTGAATCTCACCACTGAGGCTCTTAAGATCGCCTCCCCCCATCTTCCATTGTGGCACCAGGCTTGCCACTGCCTCCAAGGACCACGCTGCTGTCGTCTGGCAGGTGAGAGTTGCCTCTCTACCGTTTCCCAGCGCACTGAATCTCACCACTGAGGCTCTTAAGATCGCCTCCCCCCATCTTCCATTGTGGCACCAGGCTTGCCACTGCCTCCAAGGACCACGCTGCTGTCGTCTGGCAGGTGAGAGTTGCCTCTCTACCGTTTCCCAGTGCACTGAATCTCACCACTGAGGCTCTTAAGATCGCCTCCCCCCATCTTCCATTGTGGCACCAGGCTTGCCACTGCCTCCAAGGACCACGCTGCTGTCGTCTGGCAGGTGAGAGTTGCCTCTCTACCGTTTCCCAGCGCACTGAATCTCACCACTGAGGCTCTTAAGATCGCCTCCCCCCATCTTCCATTGTGGCACCAGGCTTGCCACTGCCTCCAAGGACCACGCTGCTGTCGTCTGGCAGGTGAGAGTTGCCTCTCTACCGTTTCCCAGCGCACTGAATCTCACCACTGAGGCTCTTAAGATCGCCTCCCCCCATCTTCCATTGTGGC